TACAACTGGTGAAAATTTGATTTTAGGGTATACTTCCCCTTTAAGCATGAACGAACAAATGGGCGATGATCTGTACAAGAGCGAACAGTGGAAGGCAGCATATTCCACCGATCAGAACCTATGTAGCCAAGACGAGAAAAACCAGCTTTAGTGTGGGCGGAAGGCAAGGCCAGAGAAAAAGAGATTTGGGACCTAGTGACGGCAGTAGTATGTGCACTGGAGGAGCGGGTATGGAAAATTTCTTTTAGGAGGGAGCTACATGTGCCGCTATGGACAGAGCGAAATACAAGAATAAAAAGCTTCAAATTGACTCGGACAGAAATGTGAGAGAGATTGTATTATCGAAACCAAAAACTATTCTTAAAGACACCTGTTAAATAGCCGGACATACTTATCGAAATAGTAAGAACTGAGGGTGTGGACGTATGCGCTACGTGCATACTCCAATGACGACTGAATAACACTAAGGTAAAAGCTACGCCGTGCGTGGAATGGCAAGAGATGTCTTGACATGCGGTAGGCGCCGAGTTTCCTGTTGACAGACCCAATCAAACCGTCAATTTGTGGCCCAAAAGTCAGGTGCTCGTCAATGACAATGCCAAGATAGCGTGCGGACTGCGCTCGAAGAACATGGACGCCGTCAATGACGACACTGGCGGAACCAGGCACTGCTGTTGTCTTTCTGTGAAGGAGGAGGAACTTCGTCTTTGCTGGGTTCAGCGTCATGCGCTTCTCTTCCAGGTAGACAGACAGCTTGGCCAGATCTCCGTTCAAAGCTCCGATGACTTCCTCAGCCGAGTCACCAGCTGCATACATATTAAAGGGGAAGTGCATCGATTTTTCAAGTAGGGCTCAGATGAAAGACAATTGGATATCGGTTCCGATGGTATATCTCTCGCTTGCGTACGGCAAGGGAAACTTGCCATATCGCCGATTTCCTGATCCCGTTTCCATGGCGACTACAGGTGATGACGCACATTCTGCTTAGCTCCGTGAGAGAGAAGGTCGATCACTGCAGAATTGTGTCATTTTCAGTTGTCTTCTTGTATTCACGAAGTGAAAGAAGTACTGTGTTCAATGCTGTTAGTGCCGTGAACTGTTTATTAGTAGTCCTCTCCGTTGTGTACTGGGACGTGACACCGACAGGGGAAAGCTGGAGTGCGGAGACGTTAGCTGGCAAGCCAAAATCGTGACGAACCAAGTGCTGAAATCTTGGTTGGGACAAATCAAACGTTCAGCATTTACCTCAACCAAGGACCATGCCGTTTGCTCTTTCCACTTCCTGAAGATGGATGCGCTGCCTGCTGGAGACTCTCCTATCTCTCGTAACATCTTCTGAAGCCAGATGAGACGACGAGTAGCGGAGATTAGCGAACGAAATAATGTCGTATGGTTTGACATTTTTGCTGAACATTTCTCAGGAGAGATGGCGAATACCAAGCATCTTCTCCTAGTCTAGAGAAACCATTTCGTAGGTTACATTCTGCCTAGGGAAATGGCTGGGGAGGACACACTTGGAGGAGAACGAAGTAAGTGATCTTGTTTATGTTGTTCTTTGGTATTGCAATCTTATGTTTGACGAACATACGGCATGGTGCATAGTTAGTTGGTCGTTGAGTGCCTGCATGTGCATGTATAAGTGTGTGCTGATAAACACTTCCTATGCAAGAATCTGACACTCATGCTCTCTTTCTTTCTTGCAGTATGTGCGCACGTGTGTGTGTGTGTGTGTGAGTGTGTGTGTGTGTGTGTGTGTGTGTGTGTGAGAGAGAGAGAGAGAGAGAGGGAGAGAGTGTGTGCAGGAGCAGTGTGGAGCATGCCAGTGTGATCGCTGTGGCTGTTGCTTTCTTAGCTGTGGCGTTCTTGCCCGCCACAAGTGTGTGGCTCAGCCCCCAACGACAGTGGATCCGTGTTGTGGTGAATACTGTGTGTCCCGCGACCGCTGCTGCCGTTCGGTCCAGGGCAGGGATAGACACCGCTGCTGAAGCTCTCCTCTGCCGTACGTCAGTCTCGTGGCAGATGACCCGAACTCTCATTGTGTGTGTGTGTGTGTGTGTGTGTGTGTGTGTGTGTGTGTGTGTGTGTGTGTGTGTGTGTGTGGTGTATGTAAATGTATGTGTGTTGCTCCCTACGTAGCCGGACAAACTCTTGTTTTTGTGTCCCGGGCGCCATGGGGCGGCGTTCTCCCATTCTCTCTCCACTGCCCCTCCGGGCCCACGTGGCTGTGACTCGACAGGGCAGGGCAAGTGTGTGTATGGCGCATGGTGTGTGCTGGCTTGTCTGTATAAATATGTTGGACAGGAATTTGTTCACCCACAACGGTGACGGAAAACCATGCTAGGTGTTGCTGGAAGTTATGGGGTCTGCGAGCAGTTACAATAACTTACGTCATGTCACAACAAAGAACGGTGCAGTGGTTGACCCTCATGTAAACATGATGGTGATGGTACCTCACCTAAGCTACCCATGAAGCTAGAAAGAACATCAGGTCAACAGAATTGTACCAGAGGAAAGCATCTATTGCCCGAACTTCTTCATATGAAATGAACAATACCCTCCTCCATAGAGACAACATGCAGATGAAGTGTATGGACAAATAATATAATTATAAATAGGCCATTCACTGAGGGCATGGAATGATCTCTACGTGTAGATTGGATAGACACATGCACGTCTGCAAGGAAAGCATTTGTTCATGGGTTAGTTCATGGGCTGATTGAGTTCACATGGACTAAGTTCATATCATGCCATCTCTCCTGAGCAGCAAAATTTCAAAACATACGACATTATTTCGTTCGCTAATCTCCGCTACTCGTCGTCTCACCTGGCTTCAGAAGATGTTACGAGAGATAGGAGAGTCTCCAGCAGGCAGCGCATCCATCTTCAGGAAGTGGAAAGAGCAAACGGCATGGTCCTTGGTTGAGGTAAATGCTGAACGTTTGATTTGTCCCAACCAAGATTTCAGCACTTGGTTCGTCACGATTTTGGCTTGCCAGCTAACGTCTCCGCACTCCAGCTTTCCCCTGTCGGTGTCACATCCCAGTACACAACGGAGAGGACTACTAATAAACAGTTCACGGCACTAACAGCATTGAACACAGTACTTCTTTCACTTCGTGAATACAAGAAGACAACTGAAAATGACACAATTCTGCAGTGATCGACCTTCTCTCTCACGGAGCTAAGCAGAATGTGCGTCATCACCTGTAGTCGCCATGGAAACGGGATCAGGAAATCGGCGATATGGCAAGTTTCCCTTGCCGTACGCAAGCGAGAGATATACCATCGGAACCGATATCCAATTGTCTTTCATCTGAGCCCTACTTGAAAAATCGATGCACTTCCCCTTTAACATCATCCGCAAACTGCAGAACTGTGGAACTGTATGACTTGTACATGTAGTAGTGTACTTACATTATGGTAGGGTGGTACCAAGAGAACTCTTGTACATAAACCTTATTTTTGGTTTTTGTACTTTACTTTAGTCTTGGTGGTACTCCTACATATAGTCACACACCACTGAGCTGTCCCCGGGGAAAATTGCGGAAAAAATCGCAAAAAAACGCGGCATAATATGGCATAATTTGCGGTAAATACCGTATATTCTCTATTATAAGCACAGGTCTCCATTACTATCACAGTCTCTAATACTAGCACACTGTGAGCACTTTTCGAAACATTATAAGCACAGTCTCTATTATTAGCACGGTCTTGGTGGAAATCAATGCTGCATGCATGATATCTAGCATGTATTTCTTCTTGCTCTGTATGGATATATTGGTTGAAAAAATATAAGCACGGTCTCCAATATAAGCACGGGGTAGAGGGCTGTTGAAAAAATATAAGCACGGCGCTTATAATAGAGAATATACGGTATGCGGTGAATAATATTGATGTGCGGCACTTTTCAGTGAGTATGTAGTGAAATCAATCAGTTACAAGTCTCTGGTGTAAGCACTCGTCATATTTGAGTAAAAAGCCGCCACGATGAGACGTTGCTGACCGAACAGTGCACTGTGTGTACGTGTAGTGCAACAAAAAAGTTCAAAAAACGCGGGAAAATCGCGGAAAACGCAGTCTTTTAAAAAATCGCAAAAAACGCGGAAAAAAACGCGGCCGCGGAGTCGCAATTTTCCCCGGGGACAGACTGAGGGAGTTGTCCAGTCGGCTATAAACTCGATCACTGTTAGCCTGAGAGTACATACATGACATTGTACTAGTACCCCCCCCCCCCCCCCCCGGTTATGTACACGATTGTACTCTTCTGTCCCCGGGGAAAATTGCGGAAAAAAATCGCAAAAAACGCGGCATAACATGGCATAATTTGCGGTGAATATGCGGTGAATAATATTGATGTGCGGCAATTTTCAGTGAGTATGTAGTGAAATCAATCAGTTACAAGTCTCTGGTGTAAGCACTCGTCATATTTGAGTAAAAAGCCGCCACGATGAGACGTTAACGCGTTGCTGACCGAACAGTGCACTGTGTGTACGTGTAGTGCAACAAAAAAGTTCAAAAAACGCGGGAAAATCGCGGAAAAAAACGCGGCCGCGGAATCGCAATTTTCCCCGGGGACAGCTTCTTGCTGTTACACACTGACAAATTGGCACGGTCAAAACACCACAACCGCCATAGTGGCTCCAGGGGCGTGCGCAGGAATTTGACGGGGGATCATTAGTTTCCACGGCTGTTTTCGTTGAAATCCATTATTATTGTGATTCTAGATGGGTCAGAATGGTGCCCGGTACATGCCTGACCTGCTTCCCTAAGAGTACAATGCTTCTCAGGGACCCTAATACCCAACTCATTGGCCATGTTCAGCGGATACGCAAGGTAGGACTGGACATGCACATTGTAGTGTACAAGTACGGTACCTCCACTGAGTCCACCACATCCCTCAGACACACCGTAAATTAGTCTACAAACTGTACGTACCGTGCCAGCTTGCACTCTTACACGCGCCGACATGCCCTAAGCATTTCAGACAGCCCCCAGCAAAGTCGTGCCATGATACTATCGAGAGTCTATACATGTTTATGCACTCTTCATATCATACTATGATTAGAACTTTCAAATGACTTTCAAATGACGAAAACGTGTTCTAGCATAGGTCCTAACAACAGTGGAACAAGGCTAGTTCGTTGCAACTCCAATTATAGCATAGGTCCGAAAATCACGAAAGTGTATGCATGACTTCCAACGCATACAAAAAAAATAATAATAATAACCCACAGCAAGTTAGTTGTTGCAGGGCAGAGAAGGCCATGCTGTGCTAGTGGGATTGATTGAAATAGGCTAAAAAAATAATGGAGATCGAATTAGGGCAGTCCTCGATTGCAGGAAACAGTAAGGCAAGAAAAAAATAAAATGCTGTGGAGGCAATAAAAATAGGGAGCATGCGCGCGCACACAAACACGCCATGCACCCCAGAACACAACCACAACATGTGTTGCTCAACAGGGCGTGCGAGTGCACCACCAAAAGCACATGTGTGCAGAACGAAAAACAAGCTCCGGACGGTTTCGGCCAAGCTTTGCTAGGGCTCTCAAGAGAGCCGAGCAGGAAACGATCGGCCATGCCACCAGTACGACTGCGCCATTCCAAACATGTGCACAGCTGCACGACGACTTGAAATCACGGCGGCTACTCCGCCAAGCACGACGCAATTCAGGAGCCTGCGCTCCTGAGCATGGTAACAGTCAGCCGCCATAGCTACCAAGGCAATGCAGCATGCAGAAGGCCTTTCCGGTTCCTGCTCGTTGATCGAAAAAGTGCGCCATACGTAGAACGTGACGGCAGTTGACTGTAAGTATCTGGGATAAATGCCTGGATAGAACCCGCTACCAGCAGTACAGCTCATATAAAACACATTCGAAATAAATACCTAAGAACGGAAGCGGCCAGCAATCATGCAAACAAAGCAGCAAAACTTGCCGCAGAAGAGGCCAGCAACACGAAATGTGACAGCACCGACACTCACCGAGACTTAGAGTTGGTGTTGTGACCGTTGCTGTTGTGATGCGGAGGGCAAAGACGGGGAGCTGAACACGCCCGAGTTGACTTGTGAGAAAGTGATACGCGTGACATGTAGCAGTAGTACTTCGGCGCACACCTGCAGCATTAGCGCGCTGAAGCCCTTGTAGAAGCCGCCGACGCCCTCGTCCCGTCGTATCGTGTGCACGCAGTCCCAGAAGCCGTCGTAGGCGCTGTCATGTGGCATGATGCCGAGACCGGTCTCGATATTGTCCACGATAAGCCGCGTTCCTTGAACGTGCATGCGCTGCAGAACAGTTTCCAGCGGATAGAGCAGCACCTCGCCGATGAGGCGGCTGATGGTCGAGGCAATGAGCTCCTTCAGGGACAGGCGTCGAATGACCGCATCGGCACCGATGTCGGTGGCCAGGTGGTGCACTGACGTCAAAACGTCGTCATTGGAGTCGAACGGCGATGCCGCTGCTGCTGCTACTGTGGTGGTGGTCACGCCTGCTGCGGCGCCCAGAGCGGCCGGATTGCTCGCGTCTTGCTGCTGAGGATTGTCGGTGGTGGCGGTGGCAGGCCGGGCGGCTGCTGACTTGCTCGACAAGAAGCTATAGAGCCAGAGCACGGCCGGCCGGGCCACGCTGCCCAGCAGCTCGCGCAGCAACGAGCGCAGCAGCGCCGGCGCCGCGATGCTCGACCAGAGCGGCAGCAGGTTGCGGCGAGAGAAGTGAGGCGTGCGGCCCACGATGCGGAACAGCGCCTGCTGCACAAAGTCCCACGCCGACGGCTCTCCCTCGCTGGTCACTTGGCTCTGGACACAGCGGGAAGAGGCGAAGAGCACACATGCATACTATCATACACATTAAACACTTTCATCATATTGTGAGAGCCATGGGCCAATAGCCCCCGGGGAGAATGCAGTCTTGCCTGTTCATATGGTGAATTAAAATAAAGAAACAACAAAACCAATGGACTTCACCAGTGCTTTTGAAAGGGGCTACGGTCTCGGCCACACCACGAGGAACGAGATCAAGAGGTTCGCTCCAGAAATACCTGAACTGCAAGTATGATACGAGTACTGTAGACCCTGAACTACATCTCGGAGACCAGTACCAGTACTGTCCAAATAATGTCAGAATTGGAAGAAGATAGCACGGCACGGCACTTGCAACCTTTGAAAACGGCAGAATGCATGCAGCACATGTCATTTAGCGTTTTCGAAAGCGTCTCATCCTTTCCTGTGGAAACAAAAGCGCTTTTGCCACCTAAAGTACCGTATTTTCCAGAGTATAACCCGTACCCCCATTTTTTTGCCACGAAATACAGACATCTACCTTATTAAAAGTAGAAAGGAAAAGGACATATGGAAACGAGTTAAGAGTAACTCTCCACCACTGTAACTCGATACTATATACGTTTCCATATGTCCTTTTCCTTTCTACTTTTATTATTGGCTCAATACCCGAGTTTCAAATCTACCCTATTGACCACCGTTAATTTGATCATCGGAGTATAAGCCGCACACGGTACCCCCCCCTTTTGTTGGGTGAATTTTCGAGTGTTCAAATTCCGGCTTATACTCCGGAAAATACGGTACCCGCGGCCTAAATCTCGGAACCAAGTGCCCAGAGGTTGCAAATGAGTAGCAAATTGTCACATCTAAAACTCACCTGGACAGTTTCCAGTAAGCTGGCCGAGTAGAATGGAAGAGCGAACACGGTACATGCTCTGTGGCACAAGACAACAGCATGCACAAAGAAGAACCATTCGCACCAGCGGTGATCACATATGAACATATGTGCAATCGTATGAATACATGAAAACAAGGACAGTAAAGCTGCATGTACATGTTGCTGTGAATAAAAACTTCAAAAGTACAGCTAGGGTTCTATTACAGAACATTCAGAAAAAAGATCCCGGAGATTTGAAGTGTAGTATTTTGGTTCTTGATTGACTACGGTGGAGTGCTCGTATCTTACGCAGCGCATACACCCATATGGTGCAGTGCAGGATAAATGATGGGGAAAGGGGAACGGGGCGGGAGAGAGAGAGAGAGAGAGAGAGATAGAGAGAGAAATAACAGGGAGATGACGGTTGAATATGCCGATGATAGCCTTGGGTCATGCAATGCAAGAAAACAATGTCACAACGACCACCAGTACAAACCCGCGCATGGCCAGGTACTGGAAGAACTGCTTGACACGGCGAATGTCACCAGCCGATCTGAACACCATACGGGCAATCAAAACAAACAGAGCAAGGGAACATATTGACAAGATCGTAAGTCCCACCAGGGCACGGGGGAATTTTGACACGGACTCCGATCTACACAGCAATCTAGGCGCTTGTCCTGCAAGAGTATACAGTCAACCACATACACAATCTCCCAGGGTAATCTGAAGCACATAAATCGGCACTAACCGGTTCAGACATGTAGTTATACTGAGCATGTACACTGTACAGTCGAGCCTTTTCAGCGCAAACACCAATGGACCAATGGCATTTGTTCGCACTATAAACGGGTTCTTTTGCTCTTGCCTTATACGCTGAACACGCAGTGATTCGGTATGGCACATGCCGGCAAAATGGGGAAGCACGATCACCGCATCAAAGAGATGTTCACTGGTTGAGGGGATGGAAAAGGGAAAGATCTGAAGAAAAAATTGACTGTCACCACCAGGACTCGAACCAGAAAGAGATGTCAGTGGGAATACGGGACATGGTACTTGCCTTGGACAAGGAGTGGTGGCCACGATAACACCTTGAAATGCCGCCTCCAGCCACATAGTCATGTATGTACTGCTCAAGCCTTTCCAGAGACAACGCGCTCCCTGATAACAGCAACAGCAGCAGGAATGGCACCAACACCAGCAACAACAGTAGTAACAAAAGATTAGCCATCCAGGCTAGAATGGTGCAAACACACACACACACACACACACACACACACACACACACCGCCACCACCACCACCACACACACACACGCACGCACGCACGCACATCAGTGCAGCAGGAACGGAGGCAATGCTCAGGAAACCTCTCCAAACATAACAGGAATCAAGTAGGTGATTGGCACTACTTGATCACGTACAACCACCCAGAAGCTTTAGCTCCTTGCCATTTGCAAATACCCAAGGCTAAAGCAGCCACTTATCAGCCAAGAGCCATTGAATAGCTCTGCTCTGGCATAAATGCCGGTGCCTACCACAGTTTACATACTATTGCCATCAACGATGACCACGATGATTATTTAGTTGAATGCATCCTTGCAGGAATGGACTCAGATGGGGAGCCAAGGTTTAATTTATACAAAAGAGGAAGACCAAGGAACTACAAGTTACGATCAGTGTCGTGCAATGTTATCGCATGAGCTGATTGTTTAGTAACTGGTGGTGTTAGTGGACAGTATAGCGTAACTTGTAGTTCCTTGGTCTTTCTCTTTTGTATAAATGCATCCTTGCATGTTATATTAAAAGAGAGAGACAAGCGGAGAGAGAGAGAGAGAGAGAGAGAGAGAGAGAGAGAGAGAGAGAGAGAGAAAGAGAGAGAGAGGTAGATAGACAGATAGATAGATAGATAGTCGTCCTATCCTGTACCTGTTGATGCTGCATTCTCCACATGACCATTGCTGTCGACATGGGTGCTGAGAGCTTGCCGGCCGGATAGTATGGACAATTATTGATCTATACACGTACACGAAAACGGCACATTTCACATACACACCGAGGTTATGTGTTCATCATAAACACTTTGATGTGTAATACTACAAGTAAAAAATGTACCAGAGAGAAATCTCCCGAAATGCTGTACAAATCTACAGTACATGTGTTTAGACAAAACCAAGCCTGAAGTGATGGAACACACAACAGCAGAGTATTCACCCTGTACATGGTACAACAAGGAAGCAGTGACTGATATCCATCTGCCTGCGGCCTCCCTATTCATTATGGCCAGTTCAAATTCTGAGCCCCCCCCCCCCCCCCCCCCCCCCCTCTCTGCCCACAATTACAGCCGGAAGGCACACAGAGCAGCAAACACTTTCCCTGCTGTTGGGGTGCATTGGCTACAAGTGCAACACAACACTAAGTCAGTTCCTGATTACGGCCGGGTGACAAAACGTCCACAGCACGACAAGGCGTTTCGAAACATCTGCAGGTGATTGCAACGGTGTTTGTACAACCACAAAATAAATAAAAGCAATGGGTAGCAAGAAGCTAGGTCTCCATTACTGAAGTATACGGAAACATCCCTGAATGAAGATGGAGTCAGTCCACGGACAAAGCACCACAAAACTTCCAAACGAGAAGAGCAAAAAATGAGACGCACGTACAATGCATCAGAACTACAGTGCTGGCCAAAGAAATCCAACCTCATGAATAAAATAGTGCCGGACGCTACGCAGCCCTAGCTCTACACATACTGGTCTGTGCACTCGAACACGGCGCTACTTTATTCATGAGGTTGGATTCCTCTGGCCAGCACTATACATACATGGCCAACAATACACAGATAGGATTTTACCTGGCATTGGCGACGCATAACGACGAATGGATGTCGGATCAGCAGGTTGAGGCAGAAGCTGTAACGTGGACAGAATATAGCGTGGCAGAGCACACATAAACGTCATTACACATCCGGTTGGGCGTAAGCCATGCGACTACAAACATTCCACACACAAAGTACATGCTCTGGTGGACACTGACATCCGATGGGAAGACCGGGGCCGGCACCCTTACTGCTTTTAAAGCGGACACACACTGTAGATCACGTACATACTGTACACATGGACCAGCAGTGCTCGCGGCTGCAAGGCCAGCGCCCCGCGGCCGCTTGACTTCCCACCGGATTTCAATGTCCGCTACAGTAGCAAGCATAGAGAGCGTACAGGGAGTGGAAGAGGGCCTGGCAACAACATCTTCTCGCACCTACATCAGTTCACCAATTCGAGGCCCGGTGGCACTTGCATACTTTGCTTTGCTATGCGTTATACAGCTTGCTTAGGAAGCGGTGTTCGGGTGTTCAAAAAAGGCATTGCAATTCTGCAGAGAGATATTTCAGTAAAAATGCATGAAAATGGGCCCAGCGGTATCCAAAATGACGATTTTTTTACTCCCAGATGTTTGATGTACATACACATACCTGACGTTAGCCAAGTGCGAAAAATGTTTTACAAACATGATTCAGATCCACAGTGTTCTCAACATTTCTCCTATCACAGAGCAAGACGAGAGAAACACGCCTCTCACCTGCATGCACCGACGCCGACGTTGAGAGCCCGAACAAGTGGTTCTAAAATACAGTCAGGAAGAGGAGGAGGAGGAGGAGAAGAAAAAAATATGACGATGATAAAAGGAAAAAGAAAAACATACATCACAACTCCACCATCAGTGATAGAAAAGTGATATCAAAAACGGCCAGGGAGTAGTAAGTTCACATCAGATTTCTACTTTGGATCCACTAAGGTGTGTGGGTGCATAGCAACCCACGCATGTCGTATGCAGGTGTGACTTTTTCTTCGCCACCAGTTGTCACCCCAACCCCATTAGCTAACCCAGTCAATTTCACTGGCTAGATCACCTTGCTGTGAGTAAGACCGCTTGAAATGTACTTGGATCCATACAAAAAAGTGGATCCAGTTTTTGAATTTTTGAAATTGTTGCTATGCTGTGACGTAGCACTTTCAACCCGCATTGGACCACCAGCGGATCAGCGGACTACAACTGTCACTACAAGGAGAAAAGATGTGCCAACCCGCCCAGGAACAGAAATCCCCCCCCCCCCCCAGAGGCAAAAGACCATACACTGTCCCTAATCAATCATTCATGCAAATCAACAATGAAACCAAAGACTGTACAAAGCAATGGTACAAAAGGCCCAATCAGACTCTCCAGTGACTTGGTAGTTACGGGGTTTGGGTTGCCTGCTTATGTTTAGGATGTTCGGCTACATCTACTTCACACGTCTTCTCAAAACTACTAGTATGCAAAGACATTGCGTAATTACTAATAGCGTCTGGCGTTGCCACGGTCACCGTCTACAGCGCTATACTTCGTATCTGTGCGGGGGCCGGGGGGGGGGGGTCATCACGTGACAGGACCGTAAAGGGCTGGCAGGGCACCAGGTGCGGGTGTTCACCCGAGACACGTGCCTGAGCAGTGAGCACCAGCTTAGCTAGCTCAGCAAAATGATCATGTCATGATGATGATATCGATGTTGATATACCGCAATGCCGCGTATAAAGGCATGACCCGTACAGAAGCATGACTCGAATAGAAGCCGATTTTTCGAAGCGCGTCGTGACACAGAAGCATGCATGCAAGTACAAATACATGCACTTCCACAATACAGTTGTCCCTCTCTAATCCGGCACCTTTTACAACGGCATTTTCTGCTGGATAAACAAGGGTGCTGGATTATCAAATCCTGCCCTCCAACCCGGCCCACCTTTCAACATACACCTTTGTGTCGTACGTCAAAACGTAGGGATTTTCTGTGTCAATCCAAGTACTTTGTGGAATGCATGTCTTTTAACATACACTTGCCGGAAATATCCTATACACTGGCATAGGATATTCCCAAGTGTATGTTACATGTGTTGTGTATGTTTCAATCAGGGAGTAGTACAATACCTTTGTACTACTCCCCGGTTTCAATGCTCCCTGACAATATGCGATGTAGAACTGCTGGATTAGAAAATCGAATTATGTACAGTTTGAGTGATTCGTTGCAGAAAATCGCTGCTGGAGGTGGAATTCAAGTGCTGGATTAAAGCGTAGGAAATGAACTGAAAAAATCCGTTTTGGCAGAAAGTGTGCTGGTTTGCAAGGGTGCTGGATAAACAAGTGCCGGATTAGAGAGGGACGACTGTACATGATGCGTGACACACACTGTACAGTGTAGACTGAAGATGTTGGCGTAGAAACATGTTTGAAAAGAAGCATAACTTGAATAGAAGCTTGGTTCGAACCCTGGCATACGGTCGTAAGCACCTGCTTTTATAAGCGACATTACGGTAGGTAAACAACACGCATAGCGAGGGTCCTGAGCTGAGCTCTTTTCTTTCATGTCCTACATTTCTCACATGCATAGTTATTTGATGGCATAATGTATCTCGACTTGTGGCTGCGCAAAAAACAAATTCTAGGATCACTGAGCTGAATGAAAAGTTTTCATGCCAGATTGATTTTTTTGTTCGCTTCCTCAACTAAACGCTGATGAAAGTATGCATACCGGTACTCGACCGTGTGGTTTAATTTACAATACCAAATTTTCTGATCGCTGAGACTGTTCGCCTGTGCCGGTCTTACCGGAATCATCGTGCCGTGGTAGTCTGGCCACTGGCTGGACACGACCACTTGCTGCAACGTAATCTCCAAGGCGAGCACCGTGCTCACTCCCGGGTGGATTTCTGTGCCGACTCGTTGTAGTTTTATCTCGCTTTCCCTCCTCAAGGGACATGGCCATCCTCAATACTTTCCACCAGTCCACACTGACCACAGAAAGAAAAAGTAGAGAGCCACACAACTCTTGTGCAATGTTTCGTATTTCCTTCAATCAACCAATGAATTATGTCAATGATCAAGAAAATGATCCTGTCGAGTTTTCAAACGAGTTCACCACACTGCACGAGCGCAAGGCATGCATTCAAAAGACCAAACACGTACAGGAGTGGCAGAATTCTGCGCAAAATTTGTGAAAATCAACACACTTCTGAGCTGAACATGTGAGATTTTTTATTTGTGTGTGAAAATCGGGCAACCAAAGCCACGTCATTTGACTCTCAGCAAAACTGAAAGACAGCATTGTATTGTGATTTTGCCAACCACCTGTTTCTTTCACGATTCGATAAGCCTTGAGGCTGAACGGGGTGAAGACCCCAAAGCATTGCAAAGTGGGACAGTGTGTCCAACCCTTGAATGTTGTAGTAAAGGGACGACTATAGATCAGAAATAGCTTTCACTCCCCTCCAGGGTCGTATTTAGAGCGGCCAAGTGCCGTTTCTTCTATAGTATTTATTTAGTTCAGTGACAGTGGTCCTTCAAAATGCTTTATCTAAGAAGATTTTCCACTTGCCTTCTACTGGCTGTTGTTGGACAAGTTCTAGCGCAAACTGCTCAGGATCCTGACATGTTCAGGCGCTTTGAGTATAAACATAGCTTCAAAGGACCACATTTAGTGGATCGAAAGAACCGATTGCCTTTCTGGAACTCATTTGGAAGTAAGTCCAGCCCTTTCCCCCTGTTGCACATACACATATTCATGTGAAAGGTGGTCACAGGACTGAAGCATTGGGAAAGAGGGGAATTTCCGTGCTGTGGTCTCTACTCTGAGCTTCACTCATACACGTCTGGGCATCTTCGGCATGTTCATGCCGGCACATGCACGCGTGCACGCTCACCAGTGCACGCGCAGAGCCACACACTGACACGTACATGTGCACACAGTCACATATCCACATACAGACACCTTTTCAACCTGATAGCCATGTTGCGAAAAGGACCCCTTAATCACCGGGTACTAGTAACATGTACGAGCATGCATGTCGTATGCACTCGCAGCTACTTTCTGGCTTCAGCCTGATCTTTCATGAACTCAGGGTATCATCCCGGGAGGAAGCAAGCATCAGGTTTCAAGCCTCAGATGGAATTCTACATGTGCTGCGCTGCATTTTATGGCACGCCCAGTCATTGAAACAAGTTGAGATAACTCTATCATGCGTTTGCGAGTGGCGTGCAAAACAACACAGTCATGTGTAGCTTACCCTACTCCTGGTGTTTTTCTGATATCAATGCTTTTTGACGTCGCTTATACACAACCATGCGTTGCAGATGCGCTGCCCTCTTCGGACCAAGTGCGACTCACGCCGTCCATCCGCAGCATGAAGGGTCACATCTGGAACAACATCACCTACGAGGCCGAGCACTGGGAGGTCGAGATTACGCTGCGCGTGTCTGGCCGTGGCTCGGTCGGCGGTGATGGAATGGTGAGTGAAGGAGTTGCAATGCTTGCTTTCTTTTTCCTACTCTTTACACTGGGTAAGAACAAGGTTCAGGCTCCTCACTATCAACATAGAAAAACAACGGTGTTGATAAACTGCCAAGCAGCCCAAATGCCAATTTCATTTGCTTTTGTTTACAGAGGTGAGGCTCCCTGGTGTGAGTAAAGACAGCTCCTAAAGCAGCATTCAATGATAATCTAGCACTACGTTCACGTGACAAATTTGAAACACAAACACCTGGATGCATTCTTCACTGTGCTGTGTCTATCGCATCTCTGCTGTATAAGATTCATTGTACTTAGTTTCTCTTCGCCTGGCTGTATTTCACCTGATGAGAAAGCAATGAAATTGCTTGCAGGAAAGTCTTGAAAATGTTGGTTATGGGGAACCTGAAGCTTGTTCACATCCAATAGTCCAGAGAAATGCCTGCTTCCAAACCCACCCGTTTTATCCGGCTCGCTTTTCTTTGACGATGTTATGCGACACGACTGCACAGTGAGCATGCGTGGGAATGTTTCATGCAGGTCGTGCCATGCAAGCCCGTTATTTGCATCATCAACCGTTCATGGCAATGCCTCTGATTCAGATCGAATCGCTGGAGCGGTACGCACCTCGAGGGCCGGGTGCATCTACTCTTTGCACAGTCAGCTACAACATGTTCTGCGGTGTGTTGCCGGATCGGTCACCTTGCACCACTTTGGTAGTGGCATCTGTGTTTGAGTGCTGCCTTTGATCCGGGGGCAGATGGTGTCGTTCCTGAGTCTAAATGAATTCTTACCCCAACTATGAATGTAATGATTTATTTGCCCCCCCCCCCCCTTCTTGTACTCAACGCACCAGGATAGTACACACACACACACATACCGTATTATCTCTAATATAAGCACGGTCCTTTATTTTTTCAATGTACCTCCGCCCCGTGCTATTAATGGAGACGTTCCTTTATTGGAGACTGTTCCATTATTATTTCAACCTCATTTCAGAGGCATGTTACCATGCCAAATTCATGTCAGACACACACATTTCAGGGTTTTTTCGCCGGTACAGATAATGAATTTTAATACACAGTGTGCTTATAATGGAGACTGAGCACTTTATTTTTTGAATGCCGCCCCAAGGTGTTCTATTATTGGAGACGTGCTATTATTGGAGACTGTGCTTATATTAGAGATAATACGGTATCAACAGTCGTAAAATGTTTCTTTTCCATCAATGATTGTTGCTGTGCTCTCTCTCCCTCTCTGGTCAGGCTTTCTGGTTCCGTGACCATCCCGGTCCGGAGGGTCCCGTGTTTGGTGTATCTGACATGTGGAATGGTCTCGGCATCATCCTCGACTCGTTCGACAATGACGGCGGCGTAAGTTGTGACTGCTATCAGTATTGTTGGTGGTGGGGGGGGGGGGGGTTTACTAGCAAACACAGCCCTACTAATAATCAGGGAAAGAGGACAACTGAAGTGACACTGTGGTACAGTATGGCATGGTATTGTATTTGTAGCATGCCTGTCATGCTTGTTGTGGTGTGGTGGATACGAGTAGAAGATCTTTGTGAGCACAGGTGGTGGTGTGGGGTGTCACTTGTGCTACGATAAGGAGCACCTGGCATTGTACTACCCAATGCCCACAGCAGTACAGTGAACTGCCATGCTCAAGAACGTACTTAGTGGGGTAATAGTAAACCGATCTAGCCTTGCATGTTCCTATTCTTTACTATTTCAATACATGCTGCAATATTGTGCTTTGGGAGAACTCCAGCATGGCGTTCTTCAGTGTACCTCTCATTGACATACGGGATCACTGTGCAATTGTAATACCAAGCTGCTCACAGCAGATGACTTTGTGCTTGAAGAGTCTGCCCATGATCCAATGGCTCTGTAACATTTGGTGAACTGTTGTTGCTGCTGCTGCTGTTGTTGTTGTTGTTGTTGTTGTTGTTGTTGTTGTTGTTGTTGTTGTTTCAAATCTTTATTCTCACGATAGCCAGTGGCCAATAAGAGATTGTTGTTGTTGTTGTTGTTGTTGTTGTTGTTGTTGTTGTTGTTGAGTACAGATGGACAACCCCATGATTTACATGATCGTGAACGACGGTACAAAGCTTTACGATCACAACAGGTACGGTGCTTGCCAATGCCAGCCTTGTTCAGCGGTGCAGTCTGGCCACTCTAGGACAGAGCTACCTCTCGATTATGGGCACTCTAGGGACCAGTCACATTTGTCCCGCATAGGTCATGCCTGGTGACCAAATCCTGATGTTGCATAGACACGGCTCATCGCCTGTGATTTTGCGTTGTGTTTTCTATCGTAGCAACCTGCAATGTCTACTTGGAAAAGGTGGAAAGGGCAAAGACCAGTTTCTTCAATTAAAAGTCTCACGCCATGTATGATTATTTTAGGCTTACATTTCAAAACAGAAAGGTTCCGGGCTGTTCAAAAGAGTGCTCAATGCCGAAGGGCAGAGCAGCTTACAGTCAAGAGCTACTGATGCTGTGTCACAACGAATTAGTCATCCTCTCTTCTACTTGTTGTTTTAGGCAACTACAATGTCATGTATATCTGTAAACTAGGAGAAGAAAACACATGGAAACGAGTTATGTAGCAACTATCCACGAATGAAACAAGATAATAAGCGGTCAGTACGTGCGATATGAGGGCACAAAACTGACAGGCTACTGACCGTTTATTATCTTGTTACATTCGTGGATAGTTGCTTCATAACTCGTTTCCATGTGTTTTCTTCTTCTAGTTTACATTTCGTACTGGCTCATTATCCGAGTTCAAATGTGCATGTGTATATGGCCATCATTAGCTCTGCTTTTCTTTGTGGTGTTGCTGTTGCAGTGATGGCCGCACCAACATGGTGAGCCAGTGCAAGCGGGACTTCCGTAATCGTCCTCATCCCGTGCGATTGCGTATTCGCTACTTCCAGGGCGAGATCAAGGTAGGTTTTGAGTGATTCTGACTTCCAAGCCTTGTGGCGATGAAAAATTAGAACAGTGTATAATGTCTATTTCGAGCACAGTTTGATTGTGTGTGTCTGTGTGTCTGTGTCTGTGTGTACGTGCACGCTCGTGTGTGTCTGTGTGTGTGTGTGTGTGTGTGTGTGTGTGTGTGTGTGTGTGTTTCAGTGAGTGTGTGTATGTATCTGTGTGTATACTTTGCAGTCATGCTCTGTTTTGGTATGCTGCTGTCTTTATCCATTGCTGGAGTACAACTATTGTTTGCTCTATTTACACAGGTTGAGTATGATCACGGCAGCACAACTGATCCAACGTACGAGCTCTGTATCATGTCCCGAAACATCAAGCTGCCGCCCAGTGGAGTCTTTGGCATGTCCGCCGCCACTGGTGGTCTTGCCGGTGAGTGCCATGGTGTGGGTGTATGGGTGTGTCAATGTGTGTGTGTGGGGGGGGGGGGGGGCATGGGTATGTGTGTGGGGGGGGGGGCATGGGTATGTGTGTGTGGGGGGGGGGGGATGTGTGGGGGTGGGGGTGTCAATTTGTGTTCGTTGGGGGGGGGGGGGGTTACTGTGGCATTGACCATTCTGGCAATATACGTTCCGCCGCATGTGTTTGTGTATTTGTGTGCACGGGGCATGTACATTTTAAAATTATGTTTCCTATGTGTGTGTTGTGTGTATACTGGGTATGTTATTTCAATCTTAACTTGAACTCTTTCTTTACCAATGGTCTGCTTGTTCTATCTTCTCGTTCTCCCACAGATGATCATGACGTGTTGAAGTTCCTAACCACAACCCTCTCTGCAACGCCATTTGCAGTGAGTACTCTAATTTCTGAAATTTTCGGTATGAGGGCAACAGGCCAGGTTAGGTGAACAGAAGTTTTCGGTCCGGAGAAGCAGTTCCCTATTGGATTATGTGTGTTAGTGTTTGTTCGGTGAACAGAAATTTTCGGTATGAAACAGACGCACCGAAAGTGCCGAAAATAAAAGTACACCGAAAATTTGTGAAATTACAGTACACCGTTTCCGTGATTTGCCTTCGATTGCAGTAGGCTTGTAGAGCATCTGATTGCTCTTTTACGGGATTTTTTCCCAATTCAGTTTGTGCTTAGAAGTACACTCATACCTCGGTTATCCGGACCCCAAAGTTACGGCCACTTCAGTCTACTGTAAGACATGTTATTATAACGAGTCGCAAATTTAACGATTGTCCAAAATTCATAGGTTAACGAGAAGATATGTTAACGATCTTACAGTATTCTGCCATATCCACACACAGCATATATGAAGCAGTACGGCCTCAACGGATCTTATTATAACGAAGAAATGTCATCCGTTAAAACGTTAGATTTGCTTCCTCGTTATATATACATGTCTTACAGTACCAGGCACCCTTTGGGCGAGTTTCAGTGGAAATATTACTACTCTTTTGTGGAAATATTACTACTCTTTTGTCACTTTTTTTGGAAATATTACTACTCAAGTATGATTTCGTGGCTTCAGTTTGTCCTGCATCCTTCTTGGTTATGTTGTATGATGAACTTGTACGAGCGTATCTGCTGACCATTGTCATTGTTGCTGTTGTCTGCACAGCCCAATATACCGGAACTCGCATCCGAGGAAGCCACCAAGGCACAGGAGCGTTACGACCAGTACAGCGAAACGCTGGAGAAGCAGAAAGAAGAGTACGCCAAGGAGCATCCGGAGGTTGCCATTCCTAACGTCATGTACGAATCGCCAGTGGATCGCTCCCTCTCGCAGATCTTGTCCGGTCTTCAGGAAGTCCGCGACATGGTCAGGTAAGAAGTGCTGCTTGTGCATTCTCTGTTTTGTCTCCGTGGTGCCCAGTTGGAAAAGTCACATGATCGCACATGCACACTGCATGCTCTTGTTCGTCCATTGCACCTGTGTTGCTGTCCACCAATTGTCGCAGGGGAAGGGGGGGGGGGCAAGGAAGGCTATAGCGATGATTGCAGTTTTGCCAACCGTGTGCCCGTCTGCGCCTTTTTGGGAAAAAGAGTCTTGGCTCTCTGCTTGATTGCTTGCGGCAAAGTCTTTTGTTTGTTTTGCAGCCAAAGTGTGAGCAGTTACATGTACTAATGACTTAGTATGTGTGGAGCACAATAGGCTGTCTGAAGGGATGTGATCAACCTCTGTATGCTTACCTTGCAGCAACAATTCGTAAACAAAAGTGTACCATAGCTATCTCTGGGCTTACCCAATGCTGTAGACAGCAAGCTGTTTCGGCCATAAAATGCCTCATCAGTACAGCTACTACAGCTACGAGCTTTGCTACCAGCCATGGTGCAAAGGAGATACTCTGGGCTTATGTTGTTTTTTTGCGAACCATCTAGACCGTGACCTATTGGCGACAATGCCTAATAAAAAATGAAATTGCCTGTACATATACATGTATAGGCATTTATACTGACCTTTCCTACAAACTTCCAGCCAACGTCCCCATCATGCAGGTGGTTTACATTGGGCATATAAACCCCATATCAACCCCATATATACCCCATATACCGTTGCCCCGGAGTTGACTGTCAGTTTGTATGAAGGTCAGCATAAGTATAATACATCCCAGTACGCTTGTACGTGAAATATAGGCCATCATACAAACCTCGGCTGCACCTTGGTTTGTATATCGGTTTATATTTCCTGTACAAGTGTACTGTTGGGATGTATTATTATACGTATATAGGCAAGTCCTATATTGTCAAAATAGGCATTGGTATCTTGTGTGTGTGTGTGTCTGTGTGTGTGCATGGTACAGTACATCTCCTTTTGTTGCTGTGTGTGTGTTTTTTTTCTTTCTTCAGGAATATGCACGTAACAGTTGTGGCCAGTGCTAGTGGTGCTCAGCGTAACGCTGCTCCCGGGGATGCTGCTGCTGCTACTGGTGCTGGTGCCAACAGTGAGGCCATGGTGTCGGCGGCCATGTCACGTCTCTCGCAGGAGGTGCTCACCGTCCTGCGCCGCAACCAGGACGAGACCAACGGCTTGCTCCGCGTGCACGGCGATGTGCTCAGAAGGTACGTCACCGCTAGGGAGAAACACGAGTTCTCACCGCTGGTCGTCGTGTTGTGGCAGCTGTTGGTGGTGGTGGTGGTGGTGGTGGTGGTGTGTGTGGTGGTGATGGTGATGTGCGTGTGTGTGCGTGTGTGAGTGTGTGTGTGCGTGTGGGTGTGTGTCTGTTTGCGTGTTTGCATGTGTGGAGGTGTGTGGGGTGGGGGTTCCATACTTGTGTCAGTGTTTATGAAGACTTGTATCATTACGAAAGGGCAGCTTTTCCGTGCACTGTGCCGGGGTATTGTCGCCACACACAGGTCTCCCGGCATCTCTTCATCATTATGACGAATGATAATATGAGTCGTGGCTAAATTGCGTGCTACTCGCTTCGCTTCGAGGATATATTTTAAATTTAGAAACTATGTGCGTGTGTGTGTGTGTGTGCGTGTGCGTGCGTGTGTGTGTTACGTCTGCTTTGCAGAGTGGCGCAACCTTCAAACCCCGGCAGTGTGCCTGCGCCCGGCGACAGCAACGCTGTGTCGGAGTTGAGCAACTCGGTGGCAGCCATGCGCCAAGACATCCGGGAACAGCAGCATCGCATCCAGTCGCTCATCGACCAGCTCTCCGTTGTGGCCAGGCAGACTGCCGATGTACATTCTCGCTCCGGACCCGCTTCTGCACCGCAGCAAGACGTGAGTGGAATGGCCGCCTAGCTGCACTGTGCATGATTATTGCTTGAACTCCCATTATTGTGTGTACATTGTAATGTCCCTTTAGACCATGTAAATCCAGTGTATCAGCCGTACGGTGCTCAATGTGATTGCATACGATTGTACAGATGTGCAGAACACATCACCATGGTAGGGGGTGAGCTGTTATTATATTCCAGTACACGGAGTATTGCGAAAATACGATCATCAGACAGCTGACGGTCGTATGTTCACGACACTCGTAATTGCGAATGTGACAGCTTGTTCCCCACAGTAATGCCCTGGTTTGAGTTGTGCGCGCTTGTAAATTTTTAAAAGTTATGCATGCCGTGTGCCTGTGTCTTGCCATGTAACACCAAGAGTACATAACCCCTCAGAGTGTGCAACTCCCACATACCCTGCTGTCCCGACAGAATTTCAAGTTGACGTCATTATTTATGACGCAATGCTCCTTGCACCAGTGATTTACAACATTTGTACGGGTGTCAACGCATCACACGTTTTTCTTTGCAATAATTTGTACAGGATCAGATCGGCTTCGGTCAACCACAGGTTCCGGATTCGTCTGATAATCCGTGTACAGTGCATCATCAAAATGACGTCAACTTGAAATTCTGTCGGGACAGCACCCATAGTCGATTTGCACACTCTGGGGGGTTATGTACTCTTGTTAACACCTTGACACCTGAATTCCGTGTGATACTCGGCGTTCGCAGTTCTCTGGCTGTGTAGGGTGTGATGCTGAAATAGGATTCATGTGCCAGCACACTGTCACAGTTGCGTAAGACAACTGTGAAAAATAGGGGGAGAGGGATTGCTGCGGATTATCGTGTGCAGGATGTTACCCCATTGCATGTGATCTGATTCTTCCTGATTCTCTTCTTCACACACACCCTCACAGCGACACTCTTTACAACGGACTCTGGGCTACACCAATCAATTTAGCTACTCCAAGTGCTCTCTGTTCTTTTTCTCTCTGTTTTTTTTCTTTTTCTTCTCCAGTGTCTCTCCTATTCCACTCTCGTCATTGTCATCGTTATCGAAGCTATCATTGCAGTCGTTCTTCTCTGGAGGCAGAAGCAGAAATCGGCCGCTGCAGAGAAGAAGTTCTTCTAGATAACAAAAGTTATTCCTGTGCAGCAGTGCTGTAGCTTCTGCTCGGCAGCTGGGAGGCGAAAGAAAAGTTACAGATCCTGCCGCCCATACCAAACTTGATTTCAAATGTGCCAGCTTTGTACTTGAAGTTAGACGCGCCCAGACGCCTGGCACATTGGCGTGGACCAAAACCTATTTATTTTCTTCGTTGCGTGTCCTAGGTATGTTTTGATTTCCCTTGATGCCTAGTTTCCGATCTTAAGCTCAGTTATAGCCGGGCTTTCGTGCTCGTATCATTATTTTCCTTATGGCTGTGCTGCTGAGCAGCGCACTAGCGTGTTGAAAATCCTGGCGTATCTTCTGTGCACAGATGTTATCTATTTGCCCGCACACGATATGAGTCTGAGCAGGTGTCTGAATTTGGTTGGCTGACACTAGCAGGTATGGCTGTACACCGGTGCAGTTATAAAGCAATTGCGTCAACGTCTTGTGTGTGGTGCTTGTGTGTGTGGGGGGGGGGGGGGGGGGGGGGCGTGCATGTCCTCTGTTCCAATTAAATATTTGCTTGCCCACTCTGTGCATGAGCCGGGCTGTGCAGTGGTTTGTGTCTGGTGTTACCTTCTTTATTGTATGATGATAATGCACAGCGTGACAGGTCAATGGCGATGAGCAGGAATGCACTGGTACAAAAGGGTGTAGGTTACATGCATGCTTTACTTCTACACAGCAACTGATGCTTGCCAAAGTTCGCTTTTTGTAAAAAAAAAGGACTTAGGGGCCGTCCTTAAATATCGATGTTTTTTTCAAGACGATATTTGTTCATTTCTCCCCAGACTCCCCTCCCCCCTCAAAACGAACATACACATACACATGTTTATGCAAGGGATCGATATTTTTTAATGAAGTTCAATTTCCTCATGAAACGTGACCAGCTGCCACTCTAATGTCACCATACACCTAGGTTTACGTTGCCACGGTCGCACAACCTTGCCATGGCTATGCTCACGAGGTTGACTTTTCACTTTGTGTAGGTCATAAACTACATGTTTGAACAGCGCCCGTGATAGAGTTCGATCTTTTTTTCTGCAAAGACGAGACGAACAGGGCCCAAACCCCCTCCCCCCCCCCCCCCCCAAACGAACGAATATCTTCTCTAAAAAAACATCGATATTTGTGGACGACCCCTTATAAGTAAATTTTGCACGTTTGCATTACAACCGGTTATACAATTGGGTTGTGAAACACAATCAGCTTAGCATAGTTTTATGTATGAAAACAATAGAAATATGAACGTAAGACCAGGGCTAGGAGGAGAGATTCTGAAGGAACCTGGGAAAAGATTAATGTCTTAAAAATAAAAATAAAGAGTTAAAACTGGCTTTGAACCAGATTACGAGAGTGGCATTACTGACTGCTTTGAAGTGTCAAAAGTCGAAACGGCCAAAAAGTTACACAACTATCCCTAGTATAGCGCTCTGCGACAGTTATCTCTTCAAGTTTGCACACACAATTAAATTAGCACATGCACCAGATCGTTTCTGTGTCTGTTTATTGCGTATTCACTTATACTTTGGGCGGGCATGGAAAGTAGAACTCAACTTCATGGCGTCGGCACGCTACAGCATGACAGTGAGCTCTACATGCACCGGTACATGCAAAGCAGACTTTGAACCCCACCCACACAAACACACACCCCACGAACAGCTGCAAAGCCACCGACATTGAAGACATAAAACATTGAAGCTGATTTCCGAAAGTCCTATGCACGGCTGCATGCACATGCACAAGAAAATGTGAACCCTAACCTTTCCTCTATAATATTAATTTACTACAGTCATAGTCTACTGTCGATCTAGGCAAATAAGTAGTGCTATTGTCTTGTATATATATTTTTATCTCGTGTAAGAAATAAAGATCAATGGGGTTTTAGTTGGTGAGAAAAAGGCTATTGGTTTTAGGGACCTAAACTAGGCATAGTTTCAAGTTAGTTTCTGCTGTCCTTCAGGACGAGGACAAAACCGATATGGCATAGAAATTGTGGGAATAATTTCAAATATAAGGTGCAGTCGGTATAACGAGGTGCCAGTGGGGTTGGTAAGGGAAGCGTGGGGGTTGGGTACAAAGATCTACCGCTGGTGATCACCGCATACGGATGCCAGCCAGCCAGCGTGGTGTGAACAGGAACGGAGAGAAATGCAGCAGGCAGTGTGAACGGAGCGCAGGACTGCGACTGTCGCTCATCCGTTCATGTGAGCGCAGCCATAAAAGGAAAGCGTATCAAGAAGTACTCTGGTTGCCACCTCTTCCCCATGCTATGTGCAGATACGGAATGGGGCCAATCATGTTCACCGCGGCGTTCCGCTCGCCAATATGCACAGTTGGCTATGGGCGCGTCTTTTGGTCTAGTCAAAATTGATAGTGTTGACGTTACCTGCCATGTAGTCATCCATCTCCGAGTCTAGTGTATCGCGCGACGGGGCAGGACGGCCGCCACCGCGTCCACGTCCAACGCCGCGACCACCGCGACCTCTGCCGCGCAGGCCACGGCCCCTCGCTCGGTTGCTGGTGGCGGCTGTGGCTGCGCCGCGACGAACACCGCCCATTGTCGCCACCACTGCTGCCACCGCCGCAGCGCGCTCGCCCAGGCCTCGCTTCACGGCTTGGCCGCGGCCACGACCTCGACCCCGGCCGGTATTGGCAACGCCTCTTGATCCGCGTGAAGCGCCAGTGCCACCACCACCACCACGGCCACCGCCACGAGCCAAGTTGCGCAGAAGGCCTCGACCGCGGCCGCCTGGCTGACTCGCCGTGCCCTGCGCCTCGCGGCGATTGGCGATGCGACGTGCTTGCTGGATCTTGGAGTGGTCGAGCCCCGTGCCCGAAATCGCCGTCGCGCCATTGACTCCGCCACGTCGACCACGACCTTGCCGTCCACCGCGTGGTACACCGCGTGTGGCTCGTCGCTCTTCTCTGTCCTGCAGGCGTGCAGCCAGCTGCTGGTTTTTCCTGCTGCCCGAACCCAAGGGACGGCCGTTTTGCTCAGGGCCATTGCCAGCGCCACGACCTCGGCCACGAGCATCTCCCCTACCACGAGCACCTCCCCTACCACCACGATTCCATCCACCTCCTCGACCACGGTCTTGTTGAAATGATGAGACGGCCGAAAACCTTCACAGAACAGCAATAGACAAGGGAAAGGGGAGAGAGACAGAGAAAGAGAGAAAGAGACAGAGAGACAGAGGGAGGGAGAGAGAGAGAGAGAGAGAAAGAAAGAGACAGACAGACAGAGAGAAGAGGGAGAGAGACAGACACACACGCACAAATGCCAGGTAACGAGGCAATCAAATACATGTGAGAATTTTAAAAATACATGTAAGATCATTGCAGGGAAAACCAACAGATATGTTGGGGTACAGTTGCGCTCAAGGGCGTCAAGGGCCGTGCAAGTTGAGGGCACCAAAACAGCCCTTGGCTTTGGGTCAGATTTCACAAAGCACAACTATATGTGCTGTATGTCCTGTCAAGATTATAATGAAAGCCAGAGTGTGCAGCTCGGATGCATGGCTCTCAAAACTCCTTGATTAGATAGTCGAGCAATGTGGAAAACAGGCTATTCAAGCTTCAACTACAGAACTTGAGAGAGACCTAACGGCAGTCGGTGCTTACCTCTCATTGAGGGTGATTGAGGTGGTCGATGACGGTGCACGAACCTCCCGGACAGCAAGACTGCTGCGGCCCCCGCGGCCACCTCTCTGCATACCCCCGCGCATCCTTCCACGCCCACTCATTCTCTGAAACCAAACAAGTTAAAACAGCGTATGCACGTCATTTCCGGGTACTTCATACATGCACTCAACTTTCAGTGCACTGCATCCAGGACTACGATTCGGAAAAACAAAAATGACGAATATGATTTAAACTTCATTGTATATAGCGCATGTTGGTGGGACCCATCATGATTCTACAGTGAAACTTCAGTATAAAGTATATGACTGTATTGTACCTCGGATAGAACATAAATGTACTTCAAAAAAGTAATTTTTTCATTGCATCCGATATTAAGGGGCCGTCCGTAAATATCGAACTTTTTTCACCAAACGAATTATTTTAGTTTAGACCCAACCCCTCCCTCCCTCCCCCTCAGAACGTAAAAATTATTCATGTACATGCATATACAGCAACAGTCGCAAGTGTGTCACTGCTCCTATGGCCATGTACATGTACATGTATCGAACTTTTCTGAAACGAAAATGGTCAACCCCCTCCCACCCCATAACGAAATTATTTCGTTTCGTGAAAAAAGTTCGATAATTATGGACGACCCCTATGTCCTGTTTTGAGGATCCTGCATGTACAGTGCTTATCAAAGAAATCCAACCTCATGAATAAAGTAGCGCCGTGTTAGAGTGCACAGGCCAGTGTGTGTATTCGAAGTATTGCTACAACCGTAAAATCCCGCCAGAGCGCCCCGTCTCTCCCATGCGCCCCCCCCCCCCCTCCCCGACTTCTTGCCAGGGAAGTGAGAATCCTTGTATGACTCCGTTAAGTGTGATGCCGTACCGTACTGCAGACGCGTGCTCAACCTGGTTGGAAATGTATGCAACGGTTCAGTTCACACCCTCTTGACCAGGGATCGCACAAATCTGGGTTTTGATGGATCGGTACGACTTTCTGCTCTTGACCTTTGGTCAGTGTACGAGACACACACACAGTTTTCGTAGGGTGAGTACTTTGTCATTGTAGTACCGAATGCAGCGGCAAGTATGACTCGCCCATCCGCCCCTCCCCACCTGGACCTACTCGAAGGGCGGCGGAGGAGGGGCGGTCTGGCGGGATTTTACGGTAGTAGTAGGCTGCGTAGCGCCCGGCGCTATTTTATTCATGAGGTTGGATTTCTTCAGCCTGCACTGTACTTTGCCAGTCACTGACTGAGTACCTCGGCAACAAAGTACAAATTTGTAATGTCCCTTGAAGATAGGTTATACTGAGGTTTCACAGTATTCGAGTTTACAACCCTGATCAGAGTCCGAAAATGCACAATACAATTATTGCACAGCAGAAAACGGCACATCGTCTGCTAGCTGTAAGTCACGCAATGCACTGGAGAATTAATTTCAACTTACGGCCACAAATCGCTGTCCTTGGCTTGTATGTCGCACTAATGCTCGTCTATTATTTATTTCTACTACCGGTATACTAGTCTGGTGATCCTGGCTTGATTGGGGTAGGAAATTCTACCAAATTCTCCACAGAGCTGGTGCACTCAATGATCCTAATCGGATTCAATTTAGTGCTGAGGGCGTTACGATTTCACGAGTCAAGTGTTCACGTTCGTCAAGACCAAGACGGCGGGGGTACGGCGTACTTGTAATACTAACTGATCACTAACTATATATCACGTACCTAGCCAGTAGCCTCTCGTATTTCAATCACAAGTATTGAGCAAGTATTAGTTTCGATTCCCTCTGAAACTCGAAACTGCGAACGGACTTGACCCTGGTAAAAGAGTCTGAAAAGTGCCTGGTATCGTAGATCTACTGCTACATGTTGTAGTGGCAGACAGATTTGCTGGTCCCCCGCCTTGACAGGTGTTTCAAAGTCAAGCTCAACAATCTCAATAGTCAAACGGTCAGTGGACGACTTTTTGGGACGTAGAATCTACGTCTTGAAGTGTTGCTTTTCAGACAAAATACTTTGCTCCAACTCGAAGTCGAAGGCATGTAGTCCATCGGCCAAATCTCAGAAAGGGCCTCTTTCGACGAAGGTGATGCACTGAAGCTCCAACTAAACGCCCTTTGGCACACTAGCTCATGAGACCCCATAGAATACGAATCCGATTGTTGGACGTTGCCAATCCAGTCCAGGATAGTCGAACTGGGTCGAATACCTTCTTCCGATTTTTGTAATTTCGTCCACCATGGTACCATTACATCTTTCTCATCGACTTTTTTTCGCTTGGCGAATGTTCTTGAGCCGCTGAGCAGAATCTACGCACGCTCGAACACTTGAAATGCCTGCATGTTGACGGTTCGCAAGATTCTAGCGAGCTTGGTGGAAATCTATTATTTATTTTGACATTTCTGGGGGAATCTGAATTTGAACGGTAGAAGCTCATTCGGAGAAGACGGCGTGTCGCCGCTGTCGGATTGTCGCTACTGTGTTTCAGACGTATTTGCTTGAACGTGCTATTGAGGATGGACAGAAGATGAAGTGACGGCTTTCTTGAACACGGACGTTGTGTCTACATTGTAGCTGAAACATCTTATATCTCATCTGGCGTCTAGAACGCAATTATTATGAGTTGTGAGTGCCAGCTGAGCTGAACACAAGCTGGACACCATTCGTCAGCTGGGAATTTGCATCGAAGCTCTTGATAGCCACGATAAGCATAATTATACAGAGGTAACCTTGTTTGACTCAATACGCATGCAGGTGTCCGTGATACCACTTGTGGCACTACAATGTAAATGGTGCAAAATTGATGCAGCAGCGAATATGTACTTCGTACAATCACGAACAATTGTAAGGCAAGTGTTCATGCCTGTCATAGAAGAATTTCAGCCTGGAAGTCTTGTTGTCATGGTCATAAATAATACAGGACTTGAGTTGGCTCTGGACATAAACACACTTGTGGTGAATACGGTCATTATTGCGAGAAAAATATTTGCCACTGTATGTTAAAGGGGAAGTATACCCTAAAATCAAATTTTCACCAGTTGTAGTCTTCCGGGTGCTGAGTCGAATGGTCTTGGTCCTAGGAAGCTGAGACGCTCCCTTCCTACTTGAATCTCAATCGAACTCGCGCACTTCCACCGAAACTGGGTGACTGCGCCCTACTAGATGGGGATTTGTATGCAAAATGTCACTAAAAGCGCCATTTCGTTCTTATAAAAGCACGGATGACCGCTATTGGCCCATATGTTGTAGTCTTTTGGACGCTGAGTCGACTGGTTTTGGTCCGAAAAGGCTGCGATGCAGCGTTCCTCCTTTATTCCCAATCGAACATGGTTGAACAAGCGGTCACGTGCTCCTGCGTACATCAGTCACCTGGTCACCGTGCCTGCAGGGTACAACTTACTAGCCTGTTTGACCTTTTTTGGGTGCAGTCCTGTCACTCGAGTTGAACTCGAGTTGAACCTTGGTGTGAAAGTTGTCGCCTGCTGCAGCGCTGGCGCGGTGACCAGGTGATTTGGGCACCTAGGAGCACGTGACCACTTATTCAACCATGTTCGATTGGGAATAAAGGAGGAACGCTGCATCGCAGCCTTTTCAGACCAAAACCAGTCGACTCAGCGTCCTAAAGACTACAACATATGGGCCAATCGCGGTCATCCGTGCTTTTATAAGAACGAGATGGCGCTTTTAGTGACATTTTGCATCCAAATCCCCATCTAGTAGGGCGCAGTCACCCAGTTTCGGTGGAAGTGCGCGAGTTCGATTGGGATTCAAGTAGGAAGGGAGCGTCGCAGCTTCCTCGGACCACGACCATTCGACTCAGCACCCCGAAGACTACAACTGGTGAACATTTGATTTTAGGGTATACTTCCCCTTTAACACCTGATGCCGCACTACACGCAATATTTCATGTACATGTATGTGAGACTCAATTGCATCCACAAGGCCGTAGATGCATGTAAGCACACAATGCTGTACAGTATAAGTAGTAGTCGACATGTGGTGCCTTCCTGCTGCACATGCGGCAAGTTGGCAACGACAAATGACCTATCTGCACCGCACAGCGTGCGCTTAGAAAGGAATATTGCACACATAGTGCTATTTGTGTTCCGATATCGTTAAGCCGGTATACATGTACTAGTATCCTTATACATGTACCTGGTCACTCGATAGGCGATGCCGACTGTACTAATCTTATCCATATTACCCGACAGGCTATAGCACACTGCGTCAGATCACTATGCAACAAAACAAGAGCTTTGGAGCGAATATACACTGAAGCAAAGTAGGTTTCAACGGTACAGCACTAGTCACGGCGAGGGGAGTTACGAGGATGGTTAGGCCGTGACACATAGATGATGATTGTTAATGATTCATGCACGGTGGAAAATTACCACCAATGGCGATGATATTGCTTTCACAACAATGACATCAGTAGGAGCAGTGACACAACCTTACTGCTCCAAGTAGGATTTACAAGCGAGTGAAGGGAGAGCAGACTGGTCTAATAGCAGACCGGGTCTAAGCAAGGAAGTAATCGGCATCAGAGGTGAGCTTGCACACCAGAAAACAGATGATGATCACCAAACACAGAGAATTTGGCTATGTGTATGTTTGTGTCACTGTGTGTGCATGTGTGTTTGTGTGTATGCGCGCACATCTGTGTGTGAGAGAGAGGCAGACAGACAGATAGCATATGGTGGGAGGGATCAAGGTCTGACCTCAGAGTTAAATGCTGACGGTGTGGAATAGCAACAGTGCGAAATCGGGCAGGGTGGTTAATGGCCCACACTGGAGCCGAGTAGGAGCGCCAGTGGTTGAGGGCTAGCACAGGAGTAGCAGCAGCCCCAGCCTAGGAAGATCAGCTTCTGGATGAAAATCTCCCGGACACAGTAGGTACCAAGCTTCACTAGCAGATTGCCGGCAGGGGTGCACGGCGAGCACCCATACGTCCCTCAAGCCAACAGAGCCGCAGTACTTGGACACGATCCAGGTGCTTACCCGCCAACAATGCTGAGAAGGCACTGGAGCCATACAGGATCTTATGATCGAGCATGACCACAGACTTGAAATACAGGGTCCGGCGTTGAATACTGAGACAGCGACGTCTCCTCCACAGAACACCACTCAGCCCCACCATTGCATTATTTTCGCTTTTTCATGATTTTTACAATTGTGTTAGAGCACACAGCACTCGATGCAACATTTACCAGTGACTAAATAACTCCGCGTCTCCGACCATAACTGCAGCGTTCCCGTGAGCCTGTTTGATTTCCGTCAGCCTGTTGAGATTATCTTCATCTCGTCACATGTGAGCCTGTGTATTTCATCCGTATCGTGGCACAATTACACAGACGCGATTTCCAACTCAGGCCGGTTCCGTTGCTCGAAGGGTTGGCGGTAAGAATTGCTACGCCGTCTGTGGCTGCATGGGAACTTGGCGAGTCGTCGTCTTTCTCCATAAATCCTGATCGTCACGCGAACAACAGCCACTATTGCCTAAAAACTACGACACAACAGTATCAAGCTCGCCCCAGCAGAAGGACACGAATGACGAGCGCTAAGACGGAGAAAGAGAGACAGGGTTATAATATTAGCGAGAGCTGACTAGTGCAGGTACGCTGTCATCTCCTGAGGTAGTGGGCGAAGCAGCGAAGTGAAACGAAGGAAGATAGAACTTATTAGAAGGCATACGGAGGCACCAAAACCTATTGCCTGTCACATACTAAGTGCCATTTAGGGTTGACAGCTGTCAGCTGACAGCCTCAAAAATTTGAAAATCTGCTCAAAAAACTCTCGATCAGAACTCTGCGCACTCTCAAATGGAGCGCACAGTAAAAAACTCGGCGACGAAGAACGCTTCGTATCGACGCCCTGGACTGAATTCGGCACGTCCAACAAACGGAATAGTGTTCTCTGATATATTCTCTACGTGCTGGGTATGGTCGCGTTTAGTTGGAAGCTCAGTGCATCACCACTTTCGATTTTGAGACTTGGCCGATGGACTAATGTCAGCTGCTTCATTCTCAGCTAGCATGCACGTGTTGGGTATGCATACGCTAGCGTCCCTCGTTGCCATGGTCGACTGCAACCAGATCTGCTGTCTGATGCACCTGTGCACTGCATGCATGCACTGCACTGACGATGATTATGCCAATTAATTTATGGGGAATTTATGGTTGAGGCAAGAGGTAAGAAAATATAATAATTTTGTGAGCGGACAAGGTAGAAATGGAACGTTAACTGCAGAGTGCAGTCTGGCAAAAACTGTTTTTTTGCATGAAGGTCACCTACAACTATCTGTTTTTCAGATCCCAAAGTTTCAGGCTGATACTATGGTGGGAAGTGCCTTACATTCACCATTTTCTAGATGCCGGTCAGTATTTTAACGTCTGTTTCGGGATGATTTAAACAGTCCACCCTTCAGTACAACCAAAACACTGAAAAAAAACCCATTATCTTGGCCTGTATTTCTCCACAAGTGTATATCAGTGTGAAAGATGAGCTGATCACACACATAAGACTCGTTTGAGGTGGAACCAAGCAACAAAACCACATAACTAGAAACAGCCGGAGCCGAAAAATCAGCTCCAGAGTAACTCGTGATGCAAGGCAAAATAATAGGACTGTTGAAGCTGGTACTCAATCCACACATCAAATACCACTACACACATGTCAAAAATAGAAGAATTTGGCGGACAAATGGTAATTCCAGTGCGTTCTTGCTTCAGCCATGTGTGCACGCTCTCATCGTATACTGTTGGCGACCTCGGACTCTGCTCTGATGCACTGAGGCTCCCGACGACTGAGCGGCGCACCTTGGTAATATAGTTTGTAACATTTTGGCAGGAGACAGACAGCTCTTGAACACACCGCATCGAAATAATATTCCGGAGACGCACCACCAATACGGTGCCCATTGGCGAAGCAGGACGAGTCCACAGACTTGAGAAACTGTACTTAACGTAACGTTACACATCAGTCCGCAATCCGAGGCCCGATTTGACTTCTTTCCACTCAGCTCATGTTCACCAGCCTTGACCATTCTGTGTATCTCAATTCTTAAAACACTCATTTCCAGACAGTGCACGATGCAGGTCTGCCACTTGCATCCAATGCATTGGGCAACAGCTAGCTAGTTGTTCTGGGCTATTAAGTCCCTGCATACGTTCCCCTGTGGTGCACGACGCTATTGTTTCTTGGCTCCTGCGCTGTGTGCTTCAGAGCTCTGAAGTCGGTTCGGCGTATACATTCAGTACAACTCAGCATCCACAGGAACGTTCCCCTTCATTGGTGTTATCATCATCACTGCTGTCACCACGTTCGCCTGCATCCGAAAGATCCATCTCATTTGTTCCCTATGTCTTTTTGTACCGCGCTGAAGCCAGCAGCAAACAAAACGCTGATCGGCACGTCGTTTTCGGCGTAGTGGAAGACGCTCTCGACTACTACCTGACTCAGAAACGCTCTCAGAATCAGAGAAGCTCTCAGCACCTGACAGCAGGCTATCAGCTGATCGCCGTCACCTCCAAATTCGCCCGTCAATACGCCACCCGTCGCACAACTAGCTACCATATCTTCCTTCAGCCATAACCATGATAACGGATTCACTTCAAATTTTCAGTGCTGGACCTTGAAGCCCTGTGCTGAGCGAGGCACAAGCGCTTGATGCAAATAGAGCCCTCTAACCCAGGTAAAAAATATGCCACAGTTTGCCAAACTTCAAACGCCTGTATCTCAAAATGATGTCATGCAGCTAACGTTCCATTTCTACCTTGTCCGCTCACAATTATTGTTTGAGTGTTTCCCAAAATTTAATTGCAGAGCACGAAAATGATGTTTCAAAATTGATCACAATGAGTTGAAAGACGCTATCTCCGACCATGAGTAGTTTGAGCGGAGTGTGCCTACGGAGATCTTCTGCCGTAGACGTGCATCTTCTCCAAGATGTCCGCTGCTTTTCGGCCGTGACTGGCTCTCCGTGCCGCGTCAAACCTAGTCCTGGCTGCGCGAGCACTTCGTTTGTGGAGAATGTGAAACCTCACAGCAGAATCGCGCAGGCTGCAACCATAGTTTCCACAAAGAGATGGTACGTTATCGTGATAGGTCTAAAGTTCACTGTGCAGTGTTTGGGCCACCACTGGGTTCTCAGTGCAAAAGTGAATTGTCACACCCCTGGACATATTTTCCTATTGAACTATTCATAGGTTTTTGGTCCCAGGGTGTAATCATTGATCTAATGTGCAACAAGTTGTACAAGCTGTTGTGAGAATTTGTGCCTTTCAACAAAAGTCTACACACACCTGGCATCCTAAGTACATCGTGATTTTTAAAATTTTCACATCAACTACCGTAAAAGCCTGTGTATAGGCCCCGGGCGTATAGAATAGCAGCCTCGATTTCCTGGGCGTATACAAGGGCACGGGCATTATTTTGGAACCGGGCGTATACTTGGAATTGGGATAGCAGTAAGTATTGGGTATCAGTACCTGTACATGTACTGGTGTTTCCGGCATACCTGGGCGTATACATGGGCGTGGGCGCTATTTTGAAACAAAAATGTTGACTTCCCCTGACTGGGCCTGTACACGGAGGGTGGGCGTAATTTCGAGTGGGCGTATACAGGGGGCTTTTACGGTACTGGGTATTGCAGTTTACTTGCCTCAGCCCTGTCAAATGGCATGGCACACTACATGTAGTCATAGATAGCACTTGTGCCTAAGGAGTGGAAGCACAAGTCAGGTACATGTACAGTGAAACCTGTGACTAACGACCACCCCTTGGGGCCAGAGAAAGTGGTCTTTAGTGGCAGGTGGTCCTTAGTTAGAGGTTTGCACCGCACATTATAATAATTATGAATGTGAGACCGTCTGTGCCTGGCGAAGTGGTCTTTAGTACCAGGTTGGTCGCTAGTCACGGTGGTCTTTAGTTATAGTTTACTGTACTTAAAAAAAAGAAGTACAGTTAGTTTGCACAGCCACCATACCACTGGCTATGCAACTGTGTTGAGAAACACAACCAGCTTGGGAAGTTTTGCACATGCCACGCCAGCACCATACCTGATTATCTGGGTGGTAGATGCAGCGCCTCGTCAGATAGTCCTGTGTATTGTAAATCAACAAATTTTGGCGGTGAGAAACTTTGGCTGATCTCGAAATGAAGCTTTTGGCCGTGATCAAAGTTTGGCCGATAGGGGTTCAATCTTGCATCATTTGACTCTATAAAGGCTGAGTACGCATTGCGTGAGTCAGCAGATTTTCTAATATTAGTACCGTACTGGCAATATATGTTGCCGCGTAACGCGTAACGCAGGGGGGGGGGGGGGTGCGGCGTAACGCGCGACCAGGCTAGTGCGACAAATTTTCGTTGAGTTCGTAACGCGCGTCCGGCGGGGTGCGGCGATCTTTTCATTGCATGCAGTTTGCACTGCAAAAAAAGGCTGAAAACTGTGAAAGCACGTGTACCGCGTGGTGAAAAGTTCAAAACTGGACGCAGCAGGAAGTCCTGACACTTGAAGACGCATCATTCAGGGGTTGGCGATCTCAATGGTTTCTTCTTTCCCGAGGTCGTTTTGCGAAGAAGAGCGATGTGTTTACCAGTTTCCTTGTGACAATGCAGAAGTCTCTATTCGCCTTCGGCGTGAAGAAAATCACGCCCAAGCATCATTCAGTGGTTGGCGATCTCAATGGTTTCTTCTTTCCCGAGGTCGTTTTGCGAAGAAGAGCGATGTGTTTACCAGTTTCCTTGTGACAATGCAGAAGTCTGCGGCAATATAGAAACCTGTGTAACGGCTCATGTGCGACTTTGCATGTAACGCCCTGCGTGCGGCAAACAAGTGCCAATGTAACGCTTCATGGCCTCACTGCGGCAACATATATTGCCAGTACGGTATTGTAAATCAACAAATTTTGGCGGTGAGAAACTTTGGCTGATCTCGAAATGAAGCTTTTGGCCGTGATCAAAGTTTGGCCGATAGGGGTTCAATCTTGCATCATTTGACTCTATGACAAACTTTGGCCGGTTGGCACCAAGCGGCGAAATCAGCGAAAATTAGTTGATTTACAGTACACGTTTGCCAGTGTTAACCTACAGCACGTAGGTTAACACTGGCACACATCAAAGAGATTCCAGCCTACCATAAAAGTCAGTAAATAAGTACCTGCCCGAAATAAATACTCCCTTCAACCGTTTGACTCTGTCGATACTGCCCGAAATAAGTACCGGTACGGTTTGCACATGCAGCATGTAGCATGTACATAAACATGAAAAATGACTTCACCACTACACACACGTCAGGTCCGAAAGTTAGTACCCGCCCCAAAATCAGTACGGGTGTGACCACAAAATCTGAAAGTATTAAAGTACGTGCTTATTATTTCACGGACTTTGTTGGTAGTGTTTTGGAGGAGCTCCTGGTTTGAAACCTACCCATACCCACAGGGCATGCTCAACGAGAAAGGAAATACAATTTTTATCAGCACTCAAGGTTGTGGACAGCTGTCTGGGGTGAACGCTGTTGAAGTCGATGGTGAAATTTCGGACTGAATGGTCGAATGCGTGTTTGATTTCGTTCTCATCACTCTGGCTTTGGTGACGGGCCCTGGTTACAATTGTAGCTGTTCAGAAAATGCAGTAGTTTTTGCTGAGGATTTACTCTTCATGCTTGTCCTGTTGGTTGAATATGCCACTACTGGCATCTTCTAGTTAATTTGAGGAGTTTCTACCCCTGCTGCAGCCCTTTCTCAAGAAGCTACAGCCATGGCTTGTGAAGTCCGGATCAATGCGCGCATGCAGTGCTGAAGGCCTCGACGTCCCGAGTGCTCGCTCTAACACGCGTACACAAGGGTCGTTGTGATTGGTTGGCGGACTCTGAAAGTGCACAGCGGTCCGGATTTCACTTTGCACAACTGTACTTTTAGGCATGTACGGTGGTGACCAGTGGCCCCAACTCTTCCGTCCGTGTCTCTCACCCCCTCCTCTTTTTCTCTCACCACCCATGCACAGCTTTGTACTGTAGGTGTTTAGAAGCATTCTCGTTTCTGCTTGTACAGTAAAACCTGTGACTAACAACCAACCCTTGGGGCCAGAGAAAGCGGTCTTTAGTGGCAGATGGTCCTTAGTTAGAGGTTTGTACCGTCCAACTATACTCTAATTTCAGAAATTTTCGGTGCTCAATATTTTCGGTATGAGGGCAACAGGCTAGGTTAGGTGAACAGAAATTTTCGGTACAGAGAATCAGTTCCCTATTGGATTATGTGTGTTAGTGTTTGTTCGGTGTACTGAAATTTTAGGTGTGAAACAGACGCACCGAAAGTACCGAAAATAAAAGTACACCGAAAATTTGTGAAATTACAGTATATGAATGTGAGACCGTCCGTGCCTGGCAAAGTGGTCTTTAGTACCAGGCTGGTCGCTAGTCACGGTGGTCTTTAGTTACAGGTTTTACTGTAGTACCAGGCTGGTCGCTAGTCACGGTGGTCTTTAGTTACAGGTTTTACTCTACATTCCTTATTTGTGCTGCTTGGCCAGGTCGGGTGGCAACCATCACACGAGAGGCACCACCATTGTAGACTTGAGTCGCATCGTGGAGCTCCACAAGAGTATGTTGCCCGACGAGCTGCTGCAGGAATGCAGGAAGCTGAGCAAGACGAGAAGCGCGCGGCCCGAGGGCATGGCGCAGCCACCACCGGCAGAAGCCATTAGCGCGGCGTGCGCGCCGCTCAAGGAGTACGTGCTGAACGAGTGCACCGGGAAACTTGTCAGCGTGGTGAGTATGCTGCCTCGTAGCCTAGGCCGTTCTTATTTTCATGTAGTCTATGGTCTATGCACAGTTGAGTCACCGTGTATACATTGGCATGCTGTGCTTAGTGAAATTGCAGCCTGGCTGTTCTTCGGCTAACCGTTCTTCAGGACCTGATACACGTAATGTGTATGCGTGTGTGCGTGCGTGTGTGTGTGTGTGTGTGTGTGTGTGTGCGTGTGTTTGTGCGTGCGTGTGTGCGTGTATGCATGTATGTTCTCCATATGTGTGTTTGGTTCTCAGATCGGCTCTCTGTGCGCCAGCATGAACCACTGGATGCCCGGCTTCTCGTTTGACACCTTGCCCATGATCTGTGGACGCATGGCCGGCAATATGAAGCTGCTGAGTGTGCCGGAGATCATTGCGTTCGCCGAGATTCTGCCACACTCCTCGCCCGTGTCTGTTCGTTTGTGCAACGAGGTAGCTCAGGTAGGTCTTTTAAAATAGTTAATACTCTAGGTTCCCATGCAGCCAGTGTCTGATACCATGGTCCACAGAGCTGGGTGCTGCTGCTGTGACAGTGCTCAATGTACGCATGTGTCCCATTTGCCATGCAGCCAGTGTCTGTTAGCACGGTCCACACAGAGCTGGGTGCTGCTACTGGGACAGTGCTCAATGTACGCGTGTGTCCCATTTGCCATGCAGCCAGTGTCTGATAGCACGGTCCACACAGAGCTGGGTGCTGCTGCTGTGACAGTGCTCAATGCAAGGTTCACCGTGACAGTGTATATAGGCAGCAGGAGTACAGGCCGAAATAATGCGGCCGGAATTTGTTTCAGCCCTGGTAGGCCGAAATTTAGACACGCTGAAAATTTGTAGACTTACAGAGTATATTCAAGAGCAGTGCTCAAGCTGACTTTCATGCCGTGGAATGTCTCAGTACTCCTTGTCAGCTTTGTTCTAGATTATGCACGTCTGACTGTTCAAAATCTGGTTTAGTTGGTGGACTCGCTCGCATAGCTTGTGCCCACAATTTTCATGTTACAGTATATTCGCTTCTCTATTGCGGCTGTGTGTCTTTTTCAGATACTGTTGCCGGTGCGTCACCTGCTTGCACCCAAGCAAATGGCATCGTGCCTGTGTTTCCTGGGCCGCGGTACAGACCCCGCTGTGCATGAGCTACTGCAGCACTGTGGCAACCTGATGACGATGCCGCAGCTTAGACAGCTGTCTCTGCCGCTGGTAAGGCTGTTGTGCTGCACTGCTCTAGTCAGCGGGCCCACGTGTATAGCTCGTGTATAGTACAGCTTGGTGGTGGTGGTTGTGTGTGGGGGGGGGGGGGGGGGGAGAAGACGTGTTGTCTTGACACACAGTTGCTTCGAATTCAGAACATGCTACAAGTACTAGTACATCACTTTGTTCTTCATATGCGTTGCAGGAATCGAACCCGTATAGGTAACTTGTATTACACACTTGTTGCTGTTGTCGTCGTTGTTGTCGTCGTTGTCATTGCCGTCGTCTTTGTTGTTGTTGTAGCTGGGACTGGAAAACTCGCTACTAGTATGCAGATTCCAGTAAAATGAACCGGACCTTACCTCCAATTCTATCTTGTTATTTAGCTTGTTTAGTAACCGAGCTGTGTGCTGACTGCAGCTTAGGGGGCGTTCGTTTTTGATCTACAGGTTTGGGTAGAAACTACTTCTTTCGGTAGAGGTGTTCGTTTTTTGGAAAAAAATTCTACTCAAAAGGGTAGATTCTACTTTCCTCTACCGGCTCTACCGGGAAAAAGTTGGTAGAATCCGGTAGAAGTTGGTAGAGCTACGGGATTTCCAGCAAGATCAAGGATTTGTACACAACTCCATAAAAAAAGAAACATTTCACGTACGCATCGTGTAAACTACTAGATCTGGTAGAACAGCGTTCGTACACTTGCCTCTACCATCTACCTCTATCGGTAGAGTGACTCTACTCTACTCTACCAAGTAGCTAAAAACGAACGCAGCCTTAGACTGAGTGCTATGCAACCCAGCTGTGGTGCTGACTGCAGCGTAGGCTGTGTGCCCAGCACTCTGACCGGGTGTCTGCAGACCTGATTTCCTAATTCTATCTTGTTTATTTTTTGTTCTATTGTGTGCAGCTACTGGGCTGCACACAGGCGGCATACTGCAAGCAGCTGGCGTTACAGCCCTTCGTCGCCAACCTGACGTCCGTACTGGAGACACATCCCGACCTGGAGAAGAGTGCCATGACGCTGCACGTGGCCTGCCACCAGCTGGTCGACAACGGTTACAAGCTGCCGGAGGCTCTGGTTGCACGCTACCACCGCTGCTTACCGCCAGCAGCTGCACTGGAGCAGATGTCGGCAGAGCGTCTAGCTCAGATCATGGCCGTGCTCTCATGCGTTCCCACATCGGCCGAGCGTATCGGCACCGAGCAGCAGGTCGCCATGGCGCTGCTCGCTGACATCAGCAAGGTGCCGAAAGCGCGGCTCGTCACGCTACTGCGAGCCGCCAAGCGCAGCATGTGCCACAGTCGGGTGAGTACTATGGCGCGCTGTGCACGCACTCTGGGGGGGGGGGGGGGGGGGGGGGGAGATCATGTTTATATATTTTTTCATTTCATGATTGTTACATGGTATTATGTCGGCATCAATTGTTCTATTTATCGTATTGTTAAAACTCTCGGAAATGTCATACAGTAGGTCTGCGTCTTGATCATGTATTGTTGTGTTTCTCTGTGCTTCTTACGACCTGTGCTTCTTACGACCTGTGCTGCTGCTGTCAGGCCTTGCCCAGCGTGGTGTTTGCCATCAGTGCCGATCCCGGAACGAGTCAGATTTCGCTCGACGACTTTCACTTTGTCCTGTCGAGCGCCAAGTCGCTGCAGGTGGTGGACCGCGGCCGTGTACTGCACTGGGCGTTGCATGTTTTCGGAGCCAAGGTAGGACAGAGAAGGATATTCTTGGTGCTTCAACCCTTTGGCTGTTTCTTCGCCATGCGGGCATAGACCGCATTCCTACTGGACGTTGTTGTTTTTGATTTAGCCTGACCATCGCCAGTATTGGCTTAACGTCGAAACGAAAGAAACACTGACCTCTGAATATACCCGTACGAATGCATTCGCGCGCTTGTGTGTGTGTGTGTGTGTGTGTGTGTGTGTGTGTGTGTGTGTGTGTGTGTGTGTGTGTGTGTGTGTGTGTGTGTGTGTGTGTGTGTGTGTAATCCCCGGTAGCCTAATTGGTAGGGCACTGGCTTTGACTCCCGTCCCTGGATCCTTCTTTTTGCAATGTATGTAGTATACAATGTACCGTTCCAATCAGACCGCCACCACTGACATCAGTGCTTGCTGTTAGCAGAATGCACGTCTGCGGACTGCTTGCGCAATCAATTTGAGCTACCGCATTTCCCCGATCATAAGTCGCACTCGATTGGAAGTCGCACCCCCATTTTCAGGTCCATGTCATATTTTTTCAATATATTCACTTCAGTAGTAAGTCATCCTTGATTGTAAGTCGCACTTCCTTTGTAGACCCTGCAGTTGATTGTAAAAGGTGCCACTTATATTCGGGGAATTAACGGTACGCACACGTTGCCAAGTGTGTTGCTGACCTGGGTCAGTCATCGACATCCGGTGGCCAGTCTTTTCACTGGCCTGCCTGTTCTTTCGTGCTGTTGACTATTGCACCTGTCTATGTTTTCCCTTCTCCCATGCGTGTTCGTGTGTGTGGTGACGGCTTTCGATTGTAGGTGCAGTCGCTCACAGCCGCTGACATCCCGGACTTCTTGCAGTGCTTACTGCTGCTGCCCGCTCCGGAAAGTAGAACCCAGTGGCAGTATGCGGAGCAGTTTGCGGCGCTCGTCAACAGCCTGATCACGTTCACGTCGTCTCAGCCAGAGTCCTTGTTCACCATGGCCCAGCTAGATCACTTTGTTCAAGTCATGGAGGTGAGCTTGTTTATAGTGTATTTAAAGTGGACTCTCGAATTTGTGTATCCGAACTGAACATCAGTCTGCGGCAAGTATGGTACTGTGTGAAGACATAGAACTCATTGTGGGTGTGGGTGTGCATGGGGGGGGGTGTTACTGTGTGCGCGCGTACACGGGCGTGCCAACCTGTCAGAAGGCTGCCTTCTTGCCAAAACATTTTGAAGTTGTAGGTTCGGCTCCACAATTCTGTGTGTCGGTAGTGAAAGTCCACATGGCTTACTAGTAGCCTATGGTGTGGATTGGGCAGTTACTAGTTTCGTACCTACAGTCCATTTCAAAACTATAGACGCGTACCTAGGCAAAAACCGTTATGCCAGCATCTATACCACATAAAATCTGTGATCACTTTGTGCATAAATTTTTCCAAATTGGGCGTCTGTTATCCAATCCTTTAGAAACTATATGAGAGTAATTGTGGAGCGATCCTGAGCAATATTCCGAAAACTATTCTCAAAAAGTTCCAGCCAAATTTGAAATATTTCAAAAACCCTACGCGTCTATAGTTTTGAAATGCACTGTAGTGCAAGTCTTGGTCTGCCATGAGGCCAGTATGAAAACCAGTGAGTAAACTCTGGTAGTGCGCTTGCAGATATGCACGCCCTTCTCTTGTGCCAAGCATACCGGTACATGGTGTGTGTGTGTGTGTGTGTGTGTGTGTGTGTGTGTGTGTGTGTGTGTGTGTGTGTGTGTGTGTTTGCATGGCATGCTTGCAGAGATCCAAATTTGCACCTAGTATCAGCCAGTTGCGGTCGCTGTTTCTGCCGAGGATGGCTTCATCATCGCCCGCGGAGCTGGTCAGCTGTTTGAGACGCATCCACTCTGCCTTCGGCCGGTCGCAGCCAGAGATTGTCGACCTAGCCATTGGTGTCCTGGAGAAAGACCGCCTGGACCAGCTGGAAATCTCCGACCTCGTCTGGATGGTGAAGTACTTTGAGGTAAGCCTGTTGCTCAGTGAATATCACCCCCGTTGACACTAGATATTGTGCACGGCAGTCAACACACTGCATTGCTTGTGCTCTCAGACTGTACATCTCGTCAAAGTAAAGTTATGGTGAAAAAGGAGGACAAGATGTTACGAGTTATGACTAACTGTCCACCAACATAACCAGATCATATACAGTCAGCGATCAGTAATCTGGTTACGTTGGTGGACAGTTAGTCATAACTCGTAACATTTTGTCCTTCTCCTTTTGTAACGTTACCATAATTCAATTGGCTCACCATCCGAGTTCAAAAGTACTGTAACTTTACAAAAGTAAAGTTCATACGTTTGCGTTACCACCGGCTAGTTGTTGAAGAACACAACCAGCTCAGGAAGTTTCGCTTGTGTCAGGCCACCACCATGCCTGGTATACCAAGGTGGCAGATGCAGCACTTAGCGGCGACGGTGAGGTGGTAAGTCTCACAAACCTCGTTAGCTGCATCCATGTTACCCGCACTCCGAGTAGTGAGTACCCAGTTGACCGTGGGTTTATCTAGTAGTCCGCTTCAATAGCATAGATGTCCAGTTGTCGACAAATGTCTGTACCATTTCACGTTGGCCTCCATTCCAGTCTCGTTTTTTCAGCGCCAGTGAGCTTGTCTTTGATGTTTTGGGCGGCTCATTCAAATCCCATTATTTTGTGACTACACTTTTAGTGCATGCGAAGCTCTTGGGGAAAGTTCAGGCATCTACGTTTTTGAAATGTATTGCAGTGGTGTGGGGTACTGATTCTTTTTTTCAAATTGAAAAAAAAAGGTTCAGTATTTTTCAGCCCCCCCCCCCCACCCGCCCACCCTTGTTGCAGGTAAAACGAATGTGTAAACAAGACGTTGATTTCAGTCTTCGGTACTCAGCAGTAGCTGGCCAGTCTCCAGGTGTGTTCAATTTATTTTCAAAACCAAACTCCTTTAACCCACTCGCCCCCAGACGACAACCATTTGTTTTTGGAAAAACCAACTGGTAACTCTGGACGGCTCCTTATTCCATCGGCATTACTGTAATTATTTGTTGTGCGAGTATTTTAAAATTTAAAATGATGTGTATGTGTGAATCGGAGACAGACACCTACACATACACATATACCCAGACAGACAGACAGACATGCAATGCTATTCCCAGGCTGTGATCAGAATTATCAGATGGCAATTTTTGCCGTCTCTTTTCCTGTCACTGTGGTTGACTGTTCACTTTATAAACTTCCTTCATCTGTGTTCGCCCATGCTTGCAGGAGTGTCCAGTTGAATATCAAATCACTGTCAAAGGAGGTCACCAATTCTTACTGGAGGCTCTGAGTGGCCACGTTACCTCTGGGCAGCTCTCTGCAGCAGACCTCAGTGAACTTGGTGGCCTGCTACGATTGGGTGCGGTTGCCTATCCTCTGTTGCATCATGTGACAGAACATCTGTATAAAGAGTTAGCCAGTTTGTCAACACTGCAGCTTAAAAAATTCCATCGTATCGTGACCAGCTTGGTGATGCCCGACAGAAATATACTTGATCGTGTAAGTGGTGTTTGCAGTCTCACATCTACCACTGTGCAGTGACCACACATGGTGACTAGTGCTTTCACAGCTTTTCACCACTCTCTCTCTCTCATATCTCTCTCTCTCATCTCCCTCTATCTATCTATCTATCTATCTATCTATCTATCTATCTATCTCTTTCTCTCGTTCTTTCTCTCTCTCATCTCTCTCTCTCTCTCTCTCTCTCTCTCTCTTTCTCTCTCTCAATCTCATCTCTCTCTCTCTCTCTCTCTCTCTCTCTCTCTCTCTCTCTCTCTCCCTCCCTCTCTCTCTCTCTCTCTCTCTCTCTCTCTCTCTCTCTCTCTCTCTCTCTCTCTCTCTCTCTCTCTCTCTCTCTCTCTCTCTCTCTCTCTCTCTCTCTCTCTCTCTCTCTCTCTCTCTCTCTCTCTCTCTCACCTACCATACCGCCGTAAATGGTTATGCTTGTCACATTGCCCTTGTAGTGGTGTACCTATGAAGTGTGATACGTTTTGAGTGCTTTGTCACCTTCCCAGGTTGTATAGAGCCCTGTAGAGAGTAACCCGGTGATGTCCGAGGTCATGAATGTACTAACTGCCCTATGAACACATTCAGTCCATATGTGGGCAATCATTTACCTCTTCTTTCTGGCTCTTTGCTGCCTCTTTTGACGCCAAATTTGGATTATCATCATAGCATGTAATACATATTTAACATGTAGGATGATGACAGCATTTCAATGTAAACTATCAAGCAAGGCGTACATAGACCTTGTATACTGTAGTACTACAGCGTAGATCTGTGAATCTTGATACTGGCGTTCTCTATCATCGCTGGTACTCGTCTATGATGCTCACACCGGCACTGTTGTGTCCATATCATTTTGGCGTGCTCTCTACGAATACAGGTTCAGGAAGCAGTTCGAAAGAATGCGTCGCTGAGTAAGGTGGGCGAGCTGCAGGCTCTCATACCCATGAGCGTGTCAACCTTGCATTTGGCCAGCATCGATCGTCTCCTCACGGAGATTGCTGACGGCGATGGCATGCGAGAGGCCAAGTCGCTGCTGGACCATGCCAGCCTTCTCCCGTTGCTCTACAAACACGGTGTAAGTCGTACTTCAGAGTGGGCAATAGAGCTGTCATGTGACCTCATGTTTGTGAATAAACAGTACAGTGACAAGTAAGCAGTGTAGGGCCTGTAGGCGACATGGCCGACATCACATGACCCAGTAATCCACAGACTGTGCAGTAGGCCTAGCCCAAATTTGCCGGCAAATCTTCCAGCAAAATATCGAAATTTCCCACTAAAAGAAATTGCTGGCAAATTCCGAGCAAAATATCGAATTTACAAAGGATCCGGGTGTGTTTTGGCAATTTTATTCAAATTTCTTTGGTTTCATTGGGCCAACGTAGTGCTGAAGTAGCTCGTGCAGGTTGTCAAGGGTACATAAATTTGAAATCATGCTACAAAATCCGGAATACTGACACCATTATAAGTTTTGCTTTCCCCATTAGAGTCACCATCCACTTTTACCGAAGTAGACGGTTCATTCGAAGCCATTTTTGCCACAAAGCAGGAGCAAAATGGAGCAAAATATCGGAAACGAAAGGCAATGCCAAGCAAAATATGGAAAGTGCTAGGGCAAAATATCGAAGCGCCCCGAGCAAATTTGGGCTAGGCCTACTGTGCAGTGGAGATGTCATGTGACCCCGTGTTTATAGGCAAAGCCCGATTTTGCTAGTGAAGCTTCGATATTTTGCCGCAAAATTTTGCTGGCTCATCGTCGATATTTTGCTTTCCTTTTGCCAGCCCGCTTGATATTTTGCTCCTTTTTGCTTCGACATTTGTGTCACGTGTGGGGAAACTGACCGAAAGTGGGTCGCGTGTTGGTAAAACTGTGCGAATATGAGTCACGTGCACCGTATAAGTGTAAAATCTCCCAGTTTCCACTGAACACACCGATATTTTGCTCCGTTTTGCCTGCAATTTCCCTTTCAAAATTCTTCGATATTCACCATTTCCTCTGATGAGGCTCTGAGAAGCCAAAACCGGTCAGGTAAACATGTTGAAAATGAATCAGGTGCTTTGTCTTGTCTGGATTTAGTCCTTCCCAACAGCTAGCACAATCGGGCTATGCCTAGTTTGTGAAGAAACTGTACACTGTGTATGTAGGTGGTGTAGGCAACATGGTTGACAACGTTTGACCCAGTGATCCATTAATTGACTTGAGTCGAAACACTCCGAACCAGTATCTGCTCATGTGATCAATATGAAGCATCCCTATCGGTACCACATCCATGGCTTGGACCCATCTTTTTCTGTATGGACTGTAGGGCGGCCTGTATAGGGCAATGGTGTGGCTATTTATCGCAGTGGCCAGCCTCCCCGTCGTGCTTGTAGAGGCAACGGTGTGTCTATTCATCGCAGCGGCTGGCCTCACTTTCACGATGTAGTTGCTGCTTACAGCCTGCAGTGCACTACTGTGGAATTGAGTAGCCGCATGTGTGTGCATGCACACTATCATATTGTCGTGCGTTGATGGCCACTACAGTCCATTTCAGAATTATAGACGCATGGTATTTTTGAAATATTTCAAAATTGGCGGGAGCTTTTTGAGAATTTCTTCCGGAATGTTCCTCAGGTCCTTCCCGCAATTGCTCTCATATAGATTTTTAAGCGATCGGATAGCAAACGCCCAATTTCGAAATTTTTATGCACAAAGTGATCACAGATTTTATGTGGTATAGATGCTGGCCTAACGGTTTTTTGAAATCACGCGTCTATATTTTTTGAAACGCACTGTAGTCCGCTGCCATTGCCTACGGTGTGACCGCTTTTTGCTTCTGTTTCCGTTGTGTGCAGATGCTGTCTAAGGGTGCCTACCTTGGACGGAAGCTGGGCGAGGAAATGACCAGGCGGTATGCTCACATCATGAAATACGGTGAGTTGTGCACGTGTATGTCAAGGAGTGTGCACGCTGATCCAACCAATGGGACACGCTTGGCACGCGTCAGCGGATAATGCTCGAATTTTGCTCGGATTATGCTGTTTTAATGCTATGCTAGCAATATGCTCCACGAATCACAACGAAAATATGCCTACAAGTAAATCATGCCAGTTGGAGCTCCTGGCCCTCAAATGAGGCCCAGTCATAACTCTGTTCTGCTTTATACATTGCTTATGGCAAAAGAATGGCCAAGCAAGCCCGGAAAGTCCCCGCTTGGCCCCGAAATGTGTGAACCACAGGGTGGTTGTGAAACACAGGCTGGACTTGAGTTCTGCTGGAACTAGACTTGTCGCAAGTTGTCAGTCGTCCCGTCAAGTGTAGTTGCATGCACTGTAAAACCTGTCAAAGGCGATCACTCGGATAAGGCGACCACCTGTCCTAGAAGACCAGTGAAACCAGGACCAAGGGATGCTATTTCCAGTCAAATGACCCTGGATACGGAGACCACCTGGTAACGGAGACCACGTTTTGAAGATGCTATGAGCGGTCGTCTTAGACAGGTTCCACTGTATGTTGAGTTGCATGCCCACGGCTTTTTTGATGCTTGTCATTTGTTTTTGTTCTTGCTCTTGCTCATGTGTATATGTATAGAGGTGAAGTTTGAGTACCCCTGGCTACTCTACTGCATCAGCATGGTCTCACCAGTGCCGAGAGAGCTGCTGAGGATCTGCCAGGCCATTGTACCCGACCTCCGACCACTGGACGCTGTCTATGTGCTGAGCGCTTATGCATCCGCAGGGTAAGTAGCATAGCTCTCTTGGATTTGTTCTGCCTCAGAGTGCCTCTGTGTCCTGTGTCCTGGCAGGCTTGTTTCCTAGAGTGTTTCTATGGCTTAGCTGTCGTCGAACCGATCTCACATCGCAAGCCATATCTCGGGCACAGCAGTGTGCCTTGCGACCGACCCTGGTGGTGCAGCCTGGATGAGATAGAGAGCCATTGGTATTTCACACTGCTTGTGTCCGGTTCTAGAACATGGGAGTCGTGCACATGGGACTCTCTGTTCTAGACGTGCTGTTGTGTACAGCAAAGCACAGGTCTCAATGACTATGTGGATGAGCATGGTCGATTCAGCCATGCTTCAGCCATCCGTTTGACGGATTCCTGCTGGAGAAATCCACACATAACGGCAATGTGTATTAAAGTTGTGTATATGTTGTGCTCTTTCCATCAGAGGACACTCAGTGTTAGTGCACTGTGCTCACAGTAGCACAACGCAATGCACAGTTGTGATCGCTACGGTAGTCTATGCAGTTCGTAGTTCACCAGTGTGCATCGTAGACTAGAATATACCGACACATACACTCACACCAGCTCATAAGGTTTACTCACATCTTCAAAGAAGGCACATGTAACATGTAACAGTTCAAGAGACGATCATGAAGAGCACAAGGCAAGAGAGACCGTAAATCTACTGTTGTGGACATTGAAATCCGTTGAGAAGTCAAGCGGCCACGGGGTGCTGGCCTTGCAGCCGTGGGCAGTGCTGGTCCATGTTTGCAGTGTGTAACGTGTGAACTACTGTGCGTGTACGCGCTAAGGCAGTAAGGGCGCCGGCGTCGGTCATTCCACCGGATTTCAATCGGTCCACAACAGTACACCACACATGACTCTGTGCATGTATGCACACTGTATGAGCACGCCGGATTAAAGAGCTCTGACCGCAATTCCAAATTGCTGCTTGCCGTTGCATCACAATATCCACACATCACCAGTGCCCAGTGCAACTTCCCTGCTGATCCGATGCACACGGTACTACTAGTATCATCTGACATCCATTCCAGTCTCTTCTGCATATTATTTGCGTGCACGTTACAAGTCATTGGCTGGCGTGCCATTATCACAGTGCCATCATCCCTGATGCGGTGCTGTGTTGTACACCAGGCTTCAGCTAAGATGCCTTGCCATAACGTTTGTGGAGCAGTTTATCTGACTACAGCGAATGTAGAGAGAAAATGTGGAGCCCCCAATAGCAGTTCACACTTCTATTCAAGATGGGACTAGTAAGGGGTCGTCGCAAAGGTTTTCTGTCGTCCCTGAAACGAACATCGTTCATTTCGTACTTGGACCCCCTCCCCTCCCTCTGAAACGAACACAGCTTGCTATGCTGGACGACGAAAATCGCATGCATGTACATGTCATATGTACAGTGTCGGTCGACTTGCGATTTTGGCTTGCACCCCCTCCCCCAAATGAATCATGTTCGTTTCAGGGACGACAAAAAACATTTGCGACGACCCCTAAGTGTACGATGAAATGTGGCCGAAAGAAAACGTCAGTGCCTTACACAAGCCAGCGTGTGCCGTGCTCCTGTGTGGCTGCACTGCGCCCAGCACTAGTTTACTGTAAGTCTTCAAGTTTTCAGCGCGTTTAAATTTCAGCCTCTGAGGGCGAAACACACATTTCATCTGCATTAAAATTTCAGCCTGTACGTCTGCTGCTTGTATACGCTGTCATACTGAAATTTGCACACCAACATTTAAGCCGCAACACCTTTTAGGCCTAGAACTTCGAAGGCCCAGATCAATGGGAAAGCAGCAGCAGCATTCGGCCCTGTACAGATTTTTTATCAACCACCACACCATAGCTGCACTCTCCAGCCGACCTCGACACCCCAGGCCGAAAAGAGCCGAAATAAATAAGAGCCAGATATTTGTTGATTTACACCATGAGATCAGCTTTCGATAAGCATCCCATGTACGTCATAGTGCTCATGATGATGAACCACCCCCTACACTCACATCAGACTGTAGCCAACATACCCAGAGAGCTGAGTATCAGTTTGATAACTGCTTGCAATACCAAGTGTTGCTTCTGTAGTACATAATTATATACTTCGAAGTAGCAATAGTATACAAGGATAAAGGGAGGGCAGACGATCATCTACGGGCCAGTAATTCACAATTGGGCACAAAGGCTCTCTGCCTCCGTAAGCCTATAAGTTGTAAAGGCTAATAGCTATTTTGTGTAATATCATTCGACACATTGGAGCTACATATACTATTCCAGGGTCTTTATAAAAAAGGCAGTAAAAGTATAAACGCAACATACTAACGTTTCATATGTACCTAAAATGTTAGCTAAAAAAAGTTGAGTGTGAACAGTCATGTCATTGCCAACATTGCCAGCATGTTATGAGTAACGTTCAGTACAAGACTTGGTGATGTATTACATTTTGTTAAAAGAAGATCTATTCAACCCACAAGTTCATGCTTGATCACTCAAAATCCCTCGTCTGTGCTCATTCGCACTCGTAGTGTGTGTGTACACGTACCGCACGCACTCAAGCACACACGCACACACACACACACACACACACACACACACACACACACACACACACACACACACACACACACACACACACATACACACACACAGCGCCAAACGTAGTGCTGCACCCGGAGATAGCCCTGAGAGCGAGGGCACTGCTCAGAGCTCACTGAACGATGCAGGCCGTTAGGTTTTGGTTGCGGGCGCATCACGACTCGGGTACTTCTTTGGCATTGAGACAAGTTATGCGACCGTCGACCATCGGCCGGATTCCATACGCCGAGCACCCATCAGTAGTCTTCACCTGCGAGTCATGATCAACGTGTGCCAGCTTTTTCCATTTCTCTATGCCGCGCAGTACCGATCGCCGCCGCGCCTTCATGCTATCCAGCACCTCCAGCTCTGCAAAGGTGTTGCGCAACAGCGTGGGCAGCATCGGCCCGGTCTCGTCGTCCAGCACCACCTCGCCGTCTTTGAACGAGTCGTAGCCATCCTTGCCCTGGGCCAGGTAGCTCTTTGTCACGACCGTGTAGCGGCCGTTCAAATCCAGCGCGTTGCCACCGACCGATACCGACCCGTCGACGACGCGACTGCCAGCGTTCTTGGCCGCGTCGAACGTGAACCGCACGCCAGACACGCACGGAAAGCGGCCCTCCAAGCGCGGGTACTGTGACACGCCGTTCTCGAGCGCGTCCAACAGCTGCGCGCCGCTGATTCGTATTACCGTCGTCTGATCGCCCATCGGCAGCAGATTTACCAAATCCTGCATGAGAATCTGTCCGACATCGACTATCGCATCCGTACGCAGTGTGCCTGCATTCAACAGGGCCACGTCGGCATCCGTGGCACGTCGCAGCATGTCCGCCACGAAGTTGGCAATGTTCGTCTCGCGTGTTCGCACGCTGCTGAAGCGGCAGTCTAGCGGCACGCACGTCGAGCCGACGACAGAACCCATCTTGGAGCTAACAACGCTGGCATACTCACTCAGCTCTTCCTTCAGGTCCGCATCCTCCTCTACCTCGCTCGTGATATTCTCGCAGCACCAGTCCACAACTTTTGGCCGATCCATTGCGCTGAACTCAATTCGCAGCACTGTCATTTGACGAAAATCGGTGCCCGACTTGCAAACGTAGATGTCATGCTCCCCATACTTTTTCACCGCATAGTGATGATCGTGACCGCCCAGCACCAGGTCCACAACGTCGCCACACTCGGTCGCCAGTCGCACATCGTTCGGCACTCGCATGTGACTCAGCGCCACCACTAGCTCGCAGCCGTCCGCTCGTAGCTTGGTCGCCAAGCGCCGTGCGCACACGCAGTAATCTTCATACTCCACATCATCTACGTCAATCGTTGCCAGTGTTTCTAGCCATTCACGCTCAACTACGCCCAGGAATCCCACCTTGTGGCCTGCGATTTCCTGCACCACCGTTTCTTCTCCATCAGCAAGCTTATCTTTTGTGGATTTGTTCACTACATTGGACATGAGCCAGGGAAATTTACACTGACTCGCCAATTTCTCCAGCTGCTCCACCCCGAAGTCGAAGTCGTGATTTCCGTACACAGCTACGGCGACTTTCGCAGCGTTCAACACAGGAACCATTTGTTTTCCCTGAGTAATAGTCGACATGACGCTTGGATTAAATGCATCTCCGGAAAATATCACCACCGGTTCGGGTAGGGCGTTTTCGGAGGCGCGCTTGCGAATTTCTCCAATCCGATGGACCATTCGTGCCGCACCGCCGACTGGCTCCTTGGTTCGACTCTCCACATTGTAGACATCGTTGAAATGAATAAATTCTATTGTTGAGAAAACCTTCCGCTTCGCCATAATTTTTTGATAGGGTGCTTTATCCCACGTCTGCGGACTATGAATAATTTATACTTTACTACTTGCGCTTACAGCCAAGCCTCTCTTGCTAGTCTCAGAAAAAGTTGCCCGGCAGTTACTGGTGACGGCTCCACAAAGTCAAAGAGTAACAGGCCATGCCCTTTTCCTGCTTGCCCTTGTTGGCAGGGATCTATTTAAAATTATTTATCGGGAGAGGGAGTCGACCATTTGGAGTTGAGTTCGAATGAACAGTTCAGCTGCATGCTTTGCAGACCGGAAACTGGCATTACACTCGGACGTCTCTTATCCGGGCACCTTGGGACCGGGCACTGCCCGTATCTCAGATTTGCCCGTATCTCAGAATAACTCACCTACCATGTATCATATCATTTTTTGAAGAAGTTTATTTGGCACGTATTGCACATGTTGAGGATACAAAAGGAACCCATTGATAAAAATGTGGGGATTACATAGGTTGGCAGTGAAACATAAGCACTTCTACATACGGAAAAAAGTTCAAAAAACCCAAATTCGACGCATTTGTGCTATAGGAACTCAAGCTGAAGGTGCCCGGTAGAGAGACGTGCCCGTATCTGAGGCGTCCGGATAAGAGGCGTTTGAGTGTACTTTTCTTCTGTTTTTACACATGCACGTGGATCGCGTGGAGCGCACGTGGACTGACTCAAGTGCACGTTTCGTTCTATTATATTATAGACCTTATAAGTTAGTTATAGCAAGAGTCCATAACCCAAGAGTATGCAACTGTGATCATGGGTGCATGCGTGGCGCGCTGCCTTCATTACGTAACTTGCCTTCATTACGCTCTGAAAGCATGCATTCAAACCCACAATGTCTCGTCCGAGCCCATCCGTTTTTGCTCGATTTGTTCCAGTACCTACGCGATCTCTAAATTTTGGCGCGTGAACTCCAGTTCCGTACGAAAGTTCATTTCAAACCAGAGGGAAAATGCGGTGTTTGATTTTCCGCAGTGCGCGGACTGCAGCTGAATGATATAATGAAGGCAGCGCGCGGTTGGCCCATAGAAAAGAGATCACAGTTGCATACTCTTGGGTTATGGACTCTTGGTTATAGCCTATATAGGCTATTCATACTACGTCACGTTTTGGAATACGACGCACTGGCAGACGTCGTTTTCATGCAGGTGCATTCACACAGGCGCTAGGCACGCACACGCTGCTCGTACAGCTGTGTGTACAGCTGTGTGTACAGCTTCTTTTGGACACAAACTGCTGGGAACGACAGAACGAATCGGTACAGGGGTCTGGATACGTCGTCTGCGTTTTCGTATCAGGGGTACGATTTTCCCGCCACGTTCAATGTTCAGGGGCGTCGGAAGGTAATTTAGTGTGGTACGGTCAGCCATCTGAAGTACAATTTACTCGTGGGGGAGGAGGGATGGCTGAGCTGAAAATTTTGAAAATTTAGAGCCCAAATCAGTGCATTTTATTGATTCACGGGGCACTTGGGGCAAATAGTGGTACGGTCAATACCGTAGTGACCGTACCGTGTGCGACGCCCCTGATGTTGTCATGGCTATCCGGACGAAAACGTCACGTACGCCACGTTTTGGGCGTCGTGTGAATGGCCCATTATCGATGATCCAGTGTCACATAGTAGAGATCATCTACTATCCCCCCCCCCCCCCCCCTCGAGGCCTCGCGCTTGGCCCCCGGGGGAAAAGTACTACTAAGTATGCACAGGAGTATAATGATTGGACCCCCGGGGAACTTTACTATGCAGTGTTTGTACCCCAGGGAACTTTACTAGTATGCAGCAGAATGCCCCGATTTTCACAGGCTCATGACCTGAGAATCAACTTAATTTTTTTACCATGGCCCAAGCGATAATCTTTTTCTTCGCTTTCTTGCCAAAGTTCTCAAGACCAACACAATTCGTCGTCAAAAAGTACTCAGCACATATGTAGATTTCGTGCCGAATTCCGCCCCAAACAATTTACGCCGGCCAGTCTCGCCACCAATTGAACCCACTGATATAATTATCCTGTATACATCTACACGAGCAATGGTTCGAGCCAAAAGAAGGACAACTTTGCAACGAGCATACTTTCTGAGGGCAATATTTGTCATGTACATGACTATTAACTATTATACCTATGGGCATGAAACTAATAGTTACAACGAATGATGTGTGGTGCTCTTGGACATGTGTACATGCATATTATAATTCTTGGCTGTGGCAGTCAATTTTTTCTGTAGACTTTTCCCTTTTCCATTCCCTCAATAAGTAATTATAACACAATCGAGACACCAAATTGACCAGCAGAAAGACACAAAATTGCTGTAAAAATATATATAAACTGAAATTGAACGAAACAAAAGAAAACGGAAGGTCTGGATGCCACGAAAAACAGTAAAGCATCCTGAATAGTATGAGCATACACTTATACATAAAGGATACCTTTGTTGCCAGCAAACACTATCTGTGGACATGAACATTATTCTGGCGAGCAGAGCATTAACGCAGACACAGACATACACGCACACACACGCGTGCATACACACACACATACACGCATGCACACACACACACACACACACACACACACACACACACACACACACACACACACACACGTGTGTGTATGTGTGTGTGTGTGTATGTGCACAACAAGTGCATCCGTGCCACTGCCAGAGTCCAGGGCCACACCAGCCTGGGTAAACATGTGTGTGTGTGTGTGTGTGTGTGTGTGTGTGTGTGTGTGTGTGTGTGTGTGTGTGTGTGTGTGTGCACTTTTGGTCGGAATTCACCTCGCACAGTTGCACAGCTTTCGTATCTGCCAGTGCAACATTCTTGTCCGATATAAGCCCATTGCGCATTGCCAAATATGGATTGCATAAGTAATGCATGTGAGTACACTGGGATCAGGGATGCACTGTTCAACACCCCACATGACCAATTATACACGCCCAGGTGGCTGTGTGGGGGTGTTTATGGTACAAATTTCGTCATTGCGCAATGGGCTGATTATAAACTTTATAAAGACATAGTGACAAGAAGAGGTCTATATGTTTATGAACGTCTGTCTTGTGCCCTTGTTTGCTTTACAGGTCGGTGCCTGAAAGCGTGCGTGCTCTCTTTGCCAGGGAAATCGTGGCCGGCTGGTATCTAGTGCCGCCGGAGTGGCAAGGCAGACGGGCGCTCGCCCTGGTCAAGCTGGACTTCCTAGGCAGTGAGCACATCGTGCAGCTCTCCATGGAGGGCCTGCAGCAGCACGACCCGCGTGTTGCCAAGCTCCTCAAGTACGTCGTAAACCTTCTATGCTGTTCTGTCTATTTTACTGTGGGACGTATGTATCATCATGCTGGCACGAATATTGTTTGCTTATCCTCTTTTGGATCATGCGGATTCTTTTGTGTGGTGTGTGTGTGTGTGTGTGTGTGTGTGTGTGTGTGTGTGTGTGTGTGTGTGTGTGTGTGTGAGTGTGTGTGTGAGTGAGTGCGCGTGTGTGTGTGTGTGTGTGTGTGTGTGTGTGTGTGTGTGTGTGTGTGTGTGTGTGTGTGTGTGTGTGTGTGTGTGTGTGTGTGTGTGTGTGTGTGTGTGTGTGTGAACATGTGGTGCATGTGTGCGTGTGCGTGTGTGTGTGTGTGTGTGTGTGTGTGTGTGCGTGCGTGTGTGCGTGTGTGAACGTGTGGTGCATGTGTTCCTCTTTCTCGACACAGGGCAGCTCACATCAGCCAGCCATCACTAGTGAAGGCGACGATCAGCAGCCTTGAGCAGGGCACACCGGACAATGCCAGGACCTGGTGCAGGATGCTTCTGTAAGTGACCCCATGCTAACTCAGTACACGGAATGTGTAGCAACTGAATAGAGCAGTTGTCAAGCCCCCTTTTTTCTCAACCACAGAGATTTTTTTGTGTGCAGTGTACAACAGTCAACCTTGTGAACAAGGACCTCGGGTATAACAACAACTCGCGGATAGCGGCACAATCCTCAGACATAGTAGAGTGCCCATTTGACAG